AAAAGAAAAGAAAAGAAAGAAAGAAAAAAGGTTCCTCTACAGAAGTGAAGAAAGAAGGCCTAAACGTCTTCAAGTATTAATACAGTTAGGCCTGTAAAAAGCCCTGGACACACAGTATTAGAACCCAGAATAAACTCTAGGAAAGTTGAAGAGCAGTTATGGTTAGTTTGCATGTTTTCCCCCACAAATATAATATATATATATTCATATGTATATAAATAAAAATTCAGTGCTGTAAAAACATCTCCAACTCCATAGGATTTGACCCATCGTAGAAGGCCTAATATGTTTTACTCTTCTCACGGCTAAAACTACTGCTGGAAGTATGTAAACTGTACTGGTTGTCCTGTGTTAATAGTCCTTCATTGAGAATACAACACTGAGGAAGAGAAGACTTGTTAATATTATTTCAATTTTTCTGTCTTTTTTGTTTTTGGTTTTACTGCACACAGAGAAACGCATCCTGTTGTGTCATCTTGTTTTGTTGTGTGTGTGTGTGTGTTTTGTTCTTTTTTTTGTTTGGTAGCAGCAAAGCACCAAGTTTTTATCAGGCTTTATGTGTGTGAGTCTCTCTGTGTGTGAGTCTGCTGTGTGTGTGTGTTTGACATCACTCCATAGTCTCTGTGTGTGTTTGCCTACGTGTGTGTGTGTGTGTGTGTGTGTAGGTGTGTGTGTATGTGTGCGCGCGGTGTCGCCTATGAAGAGCATGGCTGCACGTTGATGCCGTGGGCCGCGTGGGCCTGCAGGTCGATGGCCTGGACTGGCTGCTGCCCCGGCCGGGCGTTCATCAGCGTCAGGTTCCTCACGCAGCCCGTCATTCCTGATGAAAACTTGCCTCCCGTCATAGCAGCCATGTCTGGGGCTCCACCTGTCACATGCACAAAAAGCAAATCATTGATTGATTTGAAAGTTGACTTTACAGATAACCATAAGATTTTATAATAAGCCCAGAGACTGACAACATTTAGTAAGAATATTTAAGTAAAATATCAATTAGTAAGACTTTTAGTTAAATAAATAAAATCTAAATGAGTGTAAAACAACAGAAGTGTGAGTTTGGAACATAAGTAGAGGAATCAGGAGGAATATATGAAAAGACACCTTTACTGAAAACATGGCAGCTAAACACACTGAGCACCTACGAAGACAAGAAACATTCACTTGAAAGTGAAGGAGATGTTATGATGACAGAAGAACTGTTCTCTGTACTGAGCCTCCTCTGTCCTTCTGCCTGTGACCTAGAAATTAAACTTAGCGCAACGTCTTGAAGGATATCTCAATTCCTAAAATACATCTTGAGAAGAGAGGAGGCTTCCCAGAGGAGATATGATGGATGAGGATACACAGGTGTATCCTTGCTGTATACTTTGTGGAGGTCTTTTCAGCACCCGTGATGTATAAAAGAGGCGTGACACCCAGATGGAATATTTAAATCATGTTGGGAGTAGGAGTCAAACCAAAAGTCCAAAACTCTTTGCACATCTATTACATGAGGCAGGTGCGTCAGAGAGGGACGAGTACATCCAACAGGTACAAAACAGATTCCTGCATACTATCCAACTTGTGATCATAAATTTATTAGTGCAATGTTTTGGTCCTAGACCTTCATCAGGAAAATAGTGGGGAGCAGGACTCAACCACAATACAAGTCACCCTTCATTTGTAAAGTACTCATATGTGTCGTGCCTCTTTTGTCTACACCAATTTTTTTATTAAAGAACTAAACATTCACGTCACTTAAATTCTAAGTAAATGTTTTCTGTTGTCACGCACACTCATGATGCACATGTCATATTTAACTAACTGCTCCGAGGTAACGATGTGTCATTGTGTTAAATGCACGTCGCCTCATTTCCTCTCTGTTTGCGTCTCTTTGTTGCCTCCACCACACTGCATTTCATTTGGGATAAGAGAGGAGTCGAGGATAAACAAACTTAAAAATGAGAAGAGAGCTGCGTTTATGAAGTGCCACCAGTGTTGGCTAGTTAACTTGGTTAGAGTTAACTTGCCTACTAAAGTCCTTACACTACTGTTACAAGACTTTTGTGCAGCGATGCAGCAGCACAATATATGGATGACTAACTTTATGTGCAATAGCTGAGAAAGATTTACTTGAGTTTGGCAGCAACAGCTGAAAAAGGTTTTGCTCTCTGAGTTTAGCTCCATTGTTTTCAGATAAGGTGTTTTCTGCTTAATTATTTTTTTCTTTTTCAACTAACAACATATGATTGTATTTAGTTGAGGTTTTGATTTGTGTAATATCCATCTACTACTTTTTGTCACTTTGTGTGGACCCTATACTGTCCGCTCACCAAGGTATATACTGCCTTTGGTGTTGACCATGAGGCTTTTGCCTTTAGATTGTCCATGTAGTGTGGCTCCTCCATCAATCTGGATGTATCCATCTTTCCCAGCTCTGGAAGAAGAAAGAAGAACAACACAAGTGAACACAAGAGCTAAACATTCATCGATAAATGTGAGCAGCACGGAAACATTTGACACAACAGGTTGATAACAGACCATTCAGTGCATTAAAACATGTGTATTTCATAAATTGAGTAAATGTAAGTGGCTGTATTTCATTCATGCTGCCTCACTGGAACAGCTTACTGGGACAGTTAATATGACTGAGCCATCGTTAATGTATTTACTTTGATCTGTGCTTTTGTTGCTGCGACAAGTCAATGTGTCTACTGTGAAAAAGTTGTATTGATGTGTTCTTTACGGTTTCATTTACAAGTATAGTGGTCATTTTTGTTGATCAAATAGTCAGAAATACCAGAAAAATGCACAGATTTTTATCAAATAAGGTAACACAGACTCATTGCTTTTACTGTATCACTCTTATTGTTGTGGAAGTCGCTCCCTGAAGGCCCGTTCTGAGCTGGAAAAACCCTAACAGAGTGTGAAACCAAATGATTCAGAATATGTAATCATACCTGACTGCTGTAATCTTATGCCATTTGCCGTCATTGATGGATTTTCTGGACAAAATCTCTGCCTCTCCACTTCCCAGCTGGTAACTGGATATTGTACAAATCATTAGCGTTACTGCAGTGTTGACATTATTTTAAGAAAAGCTTATCTAAATGTCAACAGAACTGTAGGATTACAGCCTTGATTCACCTGAAAACAAGGTGTCCATTCTGTAGGCCGAGGCTGATGAAGTCCTTTCCTTTTCCATGTTCTCCGTGTTCCTGAAAATCAATACATCAAGTGAGAAGAGGAAGAAGATGTTGTCTCAGTACGATGAACTACTGACCACTGACCAGCTGCCCTGAGGTATATATCCACATCAAGTGCTATAATAGCAAACATGAAACCATGCAGTGAGATCATTCTCAGCAATGTTTGTGCAAGTGTGACATAAAATGTTCCATGCAAAATAACAATGACAAAAGAAGCCTGCAGGCACGTTGTGGAATACAAACACAGGTACTTGGAATTCATTTCACATCCCATGGTTCTCCAGAAGTATCTTTGAGTCAGCATTTATTTTTTCATTGGAAAAACACATGGCAAAAATAAATAAGTAGTGTCTTGTGTTTGAGTCGGATACCTTTTTACTAGCATGCACCTTTCGCAAATTGCGTGCGCCATTGGTCTCCTGAGGAAGATGGAGGGTGAGTTAGAGAAGCAACATGCATTTATTTAGTGGTGTCAGATAGAGCCAGGCTCACAGCCAACATGCCCGACAACGTCAGCAGCACAATGAATGAATTTGACAGTGTGATGATGGATGCTGCTCAACGGCTGAAATAAAAGGAGACATTTAGTAGCGTCAGTCTAAATCTGATATTAAATTGTTATGAGAACATCAGTGAGTGTTGCGTACAGGTAAGGTGATGGTGATGATTAAAGGTGCTGCAGCAAAGTTAGGGTGAGGATGGCAAGGTGGAAGGGGAAAAATGTGAGTATCCAGCAGAAACAGGACTGGAGCTGTGTTGGGACTTACCACTCCCTGCCACAGGATCAGGCCCTCAGAGGAACCGGTGTTGATCTCCATTTCAATTGTCTCTGGTGAGTCATGGGCACTAAAACTAAACAAAATAATATAATAACAATGAGTGAAAAAGCAACTGTGAAAGTAAAACTGAAAAAAAAGGTAAGTTACCTTCTTGGGAAAATGGATTTAGGAAGGGCGATGTATCCATCGTTGTTGAAATGAGCTGCGTACTGGTAGGGTGAATCTACAAAAAATACAGTAAAAAAAAAAAAAGAAAAAGAAAAGATTATGGGATTCAAGTAACAGTGAAGCTGCTGTGATCTTTCATCATCACTGTTATGGTGCCCTCCAGTGGTGAAAGCGTGGAAGAAACCCTGGTGAGACCAGCCTGGTTAGATACAATATTTATAGACAAAAAGAGGTACTCTTTCTCAGAAATCACTTTTGTTTGTTAATGATGCTTAAAGTGAGATCATGTAACCTTTAAAAATATACATATATTTGTGTTTTTCCTTATTCAGATGGAAAGTTCTGTGAGTTGCAAATAAATACACCCAGAGATGTTTCTACTACAGTCTCACTTGGTCTAGTATGAACAATGACTTATGGTATCCTCTGTTAGCAACCTTCACATAGATAATGTAATGTCTCCAGTACTTTCTACAATATATAGTATGTTTACTTCTTGTTTTACTCTTGTGATAAAACCTTTGGAACGCAAATCCATGACATGCCACATTATAGTATCGCGGTAGCACAAGTGAAGAAACATTAGAATGTCACTTACCCAGCACTATCTACCTAAAGTTGCTAACACTAAGACGTCAGAACCTAACGTAAGAAGTTAATTCTTCTCTCAGAAAGTTACATAGTCTCACTTTAAACACACAGTATCACAGTCCAAATTTCAATATGTGCTCAGAATCGATATGCAAATACTGCCATCTCAAAACAAAACCAATAAAAATCTCCATGATGCAGCCCTCACCAACACATGAGCAAGTTATTTGCCATTCCTTACTTGCTCACCTCTCACCACAACCACGGCTCCATGCACATACGTACATCCCATTAAGTACAGAATATGCTTGAAATACATCTTCACTTACCTAAACAACCATCACATTGTACTTTCAGCAGACACTTTAAGTTGTAGTTAGTAACAGCGCAAATGTGTGGACATGGAGCAAACTGAACAATCCGACTCAGACAAGAGAAAAACGAGTGTTTGGGTTGTACAGACAGACAGTTTTGAAGTTTGCAGAAACAAGATTGTATGTTGTGAGTAGCCATCACCATACAGGCACTGACATGACAAGGAAAAAGAACAACAAGAGGAATTCCACATGTCTACCATTTCTAGTATAAAAATGGCACGATGAGACCAAAAACGGGCAGCATAAATCTGTTTATGTCCCAACTACAATCTACCGCCCTATTACCTTTCAGTTTAGATGCAGAATTCCCCTCTCCCTCTTAATGGGGATGAGAGCCTCAGTTGCCAGTTGAGTACAGATGCATGTTTGGTTTGTGTTTATTAGCGCAAAATATGTTAGACAATGGATAGTTCAGGTAGAGCTCGGAAGGGACATGGGCCTCCTCAATCGCAGACGGGGCCCTGTTAGTCACGGTCGTGTCAGGCAGACTGAATATTGAGATACTGTACCATTTGCCTCGCTAGCTTCCGAATTCCACGTGGCCTCGGGTAAGCTGGAAACCTGGCCTGTGTGTGCAGGATATAGCCATGAGAGTGCAGGAGTAAACATGTGTAATCATTTAAGGTTAATCCTTCCAGCATGTAGTACAGGGCTGGAAGTGAAGTGTCTGATCTTTGAGGGGCTTCAGTTGTAGAGAATGTGAGTCATATGGGGTTCACTGTATGTTTCTGGCTGTAAGTGACAAGAATGTACAAAAACAGACTCTTGCATTGAAAACAGATTTCTACAATGTAATGCAGACTAAGTAAAATCTAAAATGCAAAATACGTGATTGCACATGTAGTTACTTCCTAATTCTGGGAGCAGCCAATTAGTCAGTAAATTCACAAAGTTGGCGAAATTGAGTCCATCTGAATGCAGTGAATGAGTCTCAAGTGACTGCAGTATAAATACACCTGTATCTGGAAGGTCCAGTCACTGTGAGTAGGTATTTCTGGCTATAACTACACCATAAAGACAAAAGAATACTCTCAGCAACTCTGTGAAACAGTTAGCTGAAGACAGATACAAGAACATTTTCAAGTCACTGGATATTCCTTGGAGTACAATTAATCCATTATTAAGAAATGGAAGGAATACGACACATGCATAAATCTGCCTGGAGCAGACTGTCCTCAAGAACTGAGAGACTGTTGACTCCTCTAAAGATGTTACAAAATTCAGCGACTGAGATGGGAGAGACTGTGCACACAACAAATGTTGGCAGCTCTTCACCAATCAAAGTATTATGGGAGAGTGGCAAAGAGAGAGTCGCTGCAAAAAAAAAAAAACCCTCTCAGATTAAATCTTGGCTAGAGCTCTCCAGAGGGCATCTGGGAGACTAAAGTCAACTGGAAGAAGGTTTTTGGGTATGATGAGATCAGTGATGAGACCAATAGATAGGTCTTCGTGGCCATCAGACAAGACTGTATGTTTGAGGGACAGCGCTGCACATCTTCACAAGCACTTCATGCCCACCATGAAGCATGGTGGTGGCAGCATCATGATGTGTGGATGCTTGTCAGCAGCATGTCCTGAAAAGCTTGTGAAGGTAGAGGGTACAATGAATGCAGCAAAGTACAGGGAAATCCTAGAGGACAAGCTAATGTAGTCTGCAAGGTAACTGAAACTTGGGAGAAGATTTGTTTTTCAGTGAAACCATAATCTGTAGCATATGATAAGAGCAGGAAACACAAATGGTGTCCAAACGTGCAAGGCTTAAAGAGATCTGTTTACGAAAGCTCAAAGCTGTATTTGAGGTTGAATTGCAGGGTAAATACTTATGCAATCACTTGCTCTTATTTTCTATGAAATGACATCACTTTGTAGAAATCTGTTTTCACTTTGCAATGAAAAATTTGGTTTTTTTTGCAAATTCTTGCCAAACATTGGCTGCAACATTGGACATTAGCATTGTTAGAAATTAGAAAAAAATACAACACAAAATAATTTTCCTACACATCCTGCTGCTTCTGGCTTTGTCACGCCCTCTGAATCCTCTCCCTCTTAGCCAGGAGCATCTCACTCTTCCTCCCTCTGCTTGTGCCACATATACCGGGCTTCTACTATGTTGGCAGACCATAGACTCAGCTACAGTTAGTCACTTTTCAGCCATTCTTTGAAAACTTTGTTTTTTGTTCTAGTTTGCTAATCTTGTTTCACGTCTGCCTGCAGGTGTCCTGGACATGACCCCTCCACTGTCTCACTCGAGTTCAGGCTGTGATGTCCTCTGGACCTGTTTAGTTCTCCCTCACCTCCTTAGACTTCTTTCCGATTGGTTTCCCTTTCTCTCTCAACCCTCTCTTGCTCCAGCTCTGGCCACTCACTCTACTGCTATTCACCAATAAGATTCATGTTTTGTTCTTTTAAAATAAAATCCCAGTTTAACTTTGGGTTTCTGCCCCTATTTCTTGCATTTGCGGTCTCTATAACAGCATCCTGACATTGATTTATTTATTTGTTTTAAACACTAACATATATAATTGTATTTCCAGTTAATACTTACTTTCTTCACAGTTTAGGCCGGTGTGCCCGGGTGTACACACACACTGGCCGTCGATGCAGCTACCACCATTTTCGCACTGAAGGTTGCTTTGGCACACGTCTTTCACCACCTCACAACGCTCACCTGCAGGGTCAGACATAAGTCAGGGTGAAAGGTCAAGTGCCACGGCGACACCACCAAAGCCAGAGCAAGTTCACAAGTTTATAATATTTACTGAAAAACATAGAGATATTCTTGTCCAAGATAAACACATTATAAACAGATTTTATGTTCTTATGCACACCAGCTGTCATCTTGTCATCCTAACATGTACAGCTCTGAATTTTTGGTGGGTAATTCCACATAAAATCAGCCAAATATAAAAATAAAAGTCTCTACCTCACACCAGAATCAGTAGATTTTTTGAACAGTATCTTGAGTACATTTAATTAGCCATGCAAAATGTTAGCTAAAGGCCCTTAAAGTACATATAACTAGGTTCCAATTTTGTGATTTCTAATTGGTGTTATCTACTTTGCCAGCATTTTCAGGGCTGAAAAACACCTCTGACCTCGTTAAACACAACTAACCTAAATCAATTTTACATTCACTCTTATGGGCACTTGTCTGTGTTTGTAAGTCAGTCCAAGATATCCAAAATTCTCAAAATTACACATACAGTCCTGTCACTGCAGCACAGTTCACGGTTACTCTAACAGTTCACAATCTAACACTAAAACTAGCTGTTTTTTTAACACAATTTTTTCTATAACCAACTTTGAGCATCAATATCATGGGGTATATCACAGTTTTTAATAAAAAAACCAGTTAAATGTGTCTGACACAGAGTCATAGAAAAAAGCGTGGTGCTCTGGATGTGTTGTCCGTTTTCTGCTAATTCACTGGAGAAAACATAAGTCTCGAGGGTCAAATTACCAAATAACATGAATTAAAAAGCAATACATTTTAATCCACTCCAATGTACTTTGAGGGCCTGTAACTTAGAAAACATTTATAGCATATAAATAGCAGGTACAATTTTGCATTGCTTCATTAAGTATACAAAAGTTTTTGTACAAAAAAATCAGCTGATTCTGAGCAGATCAGGTGAGAGGCATTGACAGATTTTTTTGCAGAATGACTCTCTTGTTATGGGAATTCTGGGCAGATCACTTGCTGAAGCACTAACCTTCAAACCCGTCCTTACAGAGACACTGGTACTCGTATTCAGCACTAGACATGCAGTGACCACCATTCAGGCAGGGCCGGCGGTCGCAGGGGCTGTTGTCCACACATTTGCTGATAGATCTACTGTCTGTGAAGCTGTAGGACAGATCCACCTTCTTGTTGTTGATAGAAACCTACGCAGGTGGTACAGACGAGTTTAGGCAACCACATCCTGAATTATTTTGTACCTTATAATTTATAGTTTCAGTACACAGAGATCTCACCTCTCCTATGCAGCCGTCAAACATTTCGCTGACATTGGCAGGCTTAGGCAGAATTTCCATGCTGGGCACTCCTCCCAGGTACATTGGAGTGTGGATATTGAGGCCTTGGGCTTTTCCTGGAGACGTTTTCCTCTCCGTTGGGCCTTGGTCGACCTTCAGGTGGCCGGCCCTCTTGTTCCGCTCGGCCACAACTCTGTGCCACTGGCCCAGAGAGACTGGCTCAGGACTGAGAAGGATAGCTTGGCCTGAAAATCAAGACAAGCACACATAGGCTTTACTTCCACTGAAATAAAGGAGTGGCAAACATGCCTTGCACCAATACTATCTGTCTAATCATTCTTGATATAGATTACATTTATTTAACACATCTATTAGCAACAAAAGCCACAAAGAGTCAAATTAACAACAAATTAAATTAAACATATTACACAATTATGCCATTCTGAATAGTTATAGACTGGTGTTAATATCAGTATATTTTGTTTACTGTATTACTGCTCCATGTGCAGAAAGCAGAGTCTACTTTACCTGTGCCCAGCTCGTATCTGAACTCTACATGTCCATCCACCATGGAAATGGCTACAAAGTCCTCCACCTTCATTTTTTTCCCACCACAGAAGAACATCAGGCCATTTCGCTCCACTGGCTTGAACTCTAGCTCAACGCGCAGGTCATCGTGGATGTTGGTCAGGGGAGGATAGGCTATATATGACTCCTCACCATCAAACAGTGGAGTGGTCACCAGCTCCCCTAGAGAAAGAGAATAGGTAGGATAATGCACCAAATGGTAGAACTTCTTATACAGTACTTCATAATAGATAACAAATTGTTGAGTAATCACATTTCTACTTTTTGGGAAGATAAGAGTAACTTCCAGTCTTACCATCCATGCATTTATTTCCAAACTTGCCAAGATGGCAGCGACAGTCATAGCCCAGGCCATTTTGGCGGTTGATGCAGGTAGCATCTGGTCCACAAGCCTCTGAAGTTGCAAAATATTACAAACAGAAGGCATTTATTTTATTTACTACTATAATACTATCCTGTTAATGGTGCATTCTGATAGTCTTGACAGCTAAATTCAGATACTTTGTGTATTTGTGGGGTAAATAAGTGATTTGCATGTACCTGAGTGACAGTGCAGAGATGAGTGGTGCTGGCAGTTGCTGCCTGTGAATCCTTTGGGGCAGCTGCATTTATACAAGCTGGCATCGGAGTCCTCGCATCTTCCTCCATTCTGAACGAGGACAAGAAATTAATTTACTGGATATGATGGGATAAAAGATGCTACTAAAACATAATGCGAATAGAATCAACTGACCTGACATGGGTGATCTTTGCAAGTGGGACAGTTTGTGACGCCAGTAGAGCTGCGGTCAAGATCTTTAAAGATGACTTCTTCACCCTGGATGACTAGCTGACGAATACATCCTGCACAGTACCAATATTCTGTAAGAACAACTCACCGTACACAGAAAACGTGGTCCCTACACTAGATATCTGTCATGGTGTAAAGAGCGTGATGTCTTACCCACAAAACCAGTCTTGATGCCTGCAGTTTTGGCGAGGACTGTGTAGTTGGGGTAACCACCCACATGCAGCTCCTCATTCAGATCCAAGCCCTGGAACTTGCCCTGAGAGGCAGAAAAAAATAGACAATATTAACTTGCATAAATAAATACAGTGTGAATGATAAGCAGTTAGTTTTGCATTGACAGTATGGTACCTGTGAGCTGCCATTGATGGGCTCCCCTCCATCTACAATGATATATCCCAGGGTGTGGTTGCGATACAGCTCAACTGTGTGAAACTCGCCCAGTTTAATGGGGTTGGGGTCACGAATGGTGGCCATGCCAGAGCCCACGTCAAACCTGAAGAAAAATACATTTTTAAAATTGCTTATTACCAACATGTCTCATCATGCTGTATTTATTTAACTAAATTAAAAGTCCCATATTGTGCCCCTGTTCAGCAGATTAATCCAAGTGTTGATTATGTCTCCAAAGTGCATTTTTCATTTTTTCATTTAAAAATACTGCAAAGATGGCTCATTTTACCATGACTTTATAACCCCTGGTTTTACGGCTGTTCTAAACTAATTCTTTTGCTCTAAAAAACCAATGAGTTGCTGCTGTTCCCGCCCCCTTCAGGAAGCGAACACTGTCTGCGTCTTTGATTGACAGTTTGAGCTAGATAACTCTTGGTTAGTTAGGTGTGACGTAGCTCCTGGGTTGAATTTCTTGTAAAGCTGGGAGGCTTGAAGAATGATAGAAGTAGGCATCTTAATATCTTAACAGCTTGGATTTTCCACCTCCAACTTCAAAAACAACCATAAAACACAATAAAATGTATTTTCACAGCCAAACTGACCTGAACTCCAAGCGGCCACCGACAAGTCCCAGAGAGATGAAGTCAGCTCCTGTGGTCCTCCTCTGGCCGTTGTACAGGATCATACCTGCATCACCGAAACACAGTGAATGAGTACTTTCACAAAGCTAAATGTACACCCTACAATAATATCCATCTTAATAAGTCGGTTAATCTATTAATTTTATTTCCCTTCTTCTGTCAGCTTTGTCTCAGTTTAATGTCACTAATTTCTCCAACATTCCTAAAACATTTATCTGATCTCACTTGCATGGTTGTTCACTCAAGATTTCAAACTACATACGAGAGACTTGTTAGGATGGACATTGTTTGCAGTATCACTCACACACGAAGTGAACTCTTGAAAGCTGGATGGTAAAGCAGCATGCTATGGTGACGCAGGTTTAAAGCCAACCAAAGCAAAGTTATAAACTGCCATCTTATGTCTGAGCTGCAAAATGCAACCAGTCACACGGCACTGCTAGTCCTCCTTTGTCTTTCTCCACATGCTGGAAATAAACATGCTTATATGAGCAGCACAGGCTCATGGGGAAGTGGGAACATGCACTCTTGCATGTCTGTCTTTATCATCTCTCATAACTTAGAAAAGGGGTGATGAAGACAGAGTAGACTTTGTATAAATGTGTAACGTAAAAATATTTTTCAAAGTGGAGGTAAGTTTACAAGTAATCCTGCAAGTATTTGTAGTGCACATTTAAACAGAAAGAGTCAAGCATGTTGAAATTGCTTTTGCAGTTAATTGGTATTTTGTTTGTCACAGTTTGTTACCTGATGGGTGAGATGAACTGATAAACAATCACAGGTAATTTAGCAGAAAAATAATTGCCAATAAAGGCAATGGCAGTCAAGTTTTACTGTAATATCTTCCTGTTTTGCTGTTTTACTCCCACACATCCTGCACCGACTGTGGACCAAAAGAAACCACATAAGTTCTTGCAAAGGCAATTTGACTTGACTTGACGTGTATTTATATATATTTTCTTGCATATAAAGATGGTGATTTAAAGCCCTGCTGCTTTGTAGGTAGTGTAGAAGCTGAAGGAGTAGACTGGAAAGTACAAGTAAATTCGTAACCAAGCTTAATTTTTTTATTATACAACTGAAAGTGGTTTAGGGATCATGACCAATAAACTATGTATGAAAACATTGGCCATGCACCATCTTGCATCTCTTTCACAGTCTCTACATAGCTCTGAGCTGGATGCATTATGGTGAAGTTTGATGCAGCCAGAAAGAGGTACTGCTAACATCAGCCTTGAGTTCCTGAGGTTCTCAAGCACTGAGACTCACCAGCATACAATATGAGACCTTCCCACCACGTGGGTGAGGTGTGGGAGAGAGGGAGGGGACAGAAGACGTAGTGAAATTACACATGAGCAAATATGAAAAACATAGCAAAGAACAAAAAGCAAAAACAATTCTCCACAATGCAAGATTTACCAAAGAAAAAGTACAAATTATTACACTATATAATAAAACTGAAGGATGTGCATTCTTACCATCAACATTATCAGGTCTGAAGCTGATCTTGATGCTGAACGCTTTGTAGGCATTTTTGATGGTCGGCAGGGTCAGGTAGGACACGGGTTCCTGGGCAAAATATGGCATCACCCTCTCTGAAAAAGCATGTTGGAGTTAGACACTGTGGTTTGTGTTCAAAACATTTCATTTATTACCTAACTTCCCCTTCCCACCCCACCCTTCAATCCACACACTAACCATGGACTTCAAGTGTAGTAAAGGCTTCCACTTTGCCCTGTTTGTTAGAGGCAGTACAGACGTATGTGCCAGAATCCTCATGGCTGACCTGAGGAACCGTCAGCACGTTGACCTCCTGGAAACACTTTGGAGGAAGCTCTCCCTCCAGCTACATACAGAAACAGACACAGGAATTGTATGTAAAACACACTGTGATTTTTCTTTTATTTATAATATTAGAATTTACTTGGGATGTCTGCTTATGTTTTTTTGTGTGCCAACAATGCAGTCTGAGTCATTTGATGTTTAATATCTGATACCATTTACCAAGAAAATACCTGTAATACCTATAGCCTATCTGGTTACGCCACCAGGTGGAGCTTCTTATTGTTTAATACTGTAGCGACCAGAGTAGGCGGTCACTCAGACTAAGGGCAGTTCCATGTTAGTCAGCGGAGAGCATTATGGAGTTCTAACTAGCAATGGGCCACCATGACAAAGTTTTCTGTGACGCCTTGTAGCTGGGGCTCATGTGTTTAAGACAACCAGGGAACAACTGGAACAGAACTTCTTAATCATATTGGGAAACCTTTGCAACTCATCTCATGACTACACTTGCAATATCAGCACAGGGCTTTTGTTCACTGTGCTGATTTTATGCTATTAAAAAATGTATTATCGATTGATGATGCTGCATGTATTAAGGGGAAAAAAAATTAAAACTTGCATCACTAGGATCCTGCCACAAATTGTGATTTTATTTTACCACACCTGTATGACAGTGAATATAAATAAATGTGTGGATTTGGTTTGTATCAGTGTTGATCAGTTTTTAAAAAAATGCCTTAACATCCCTGGAATTTATCAATGTCCAAGCAAAGTTTTCTTTCTTTACCATGAGCAGATGGCAATCATAAGGACTACAGAGAGAACAGAGTTTTGAAAAAGTTCTGAAATATTGTATCTTAGAAACGTTGGTTGACACTGAAATCTTGGTTACCTTGGACCATTTGATCTCAGGTACAGGGTATCCGGAAGCCACACAGGGCAAGACTGCATCCGACCCGACCGTCACCTCCTTAGTTTCCGGCAACGCAGCAATTTGAGGAAGAGCTGTGCAAACAAACAAAAGGATTTCAATGCTGATGACGATGAGGATAGAGATAGCTTCACTGTCAGCATAATACATTGATGTTTGTGACAGTGCATGCATATGTGAAGAAAGGAAAAAATGTTCCCTGATGCACTCACACTGGACATTAAGGACCACCTGAGACTGCACTGAGCCTACATCGTTGGTAGCCGTACAGCGGTACTGGCCAGCATCAGCCTCCGTCACCTGGTCGATCTTCAGCATGCCACCCTTCACCATGATGTGGGCCGGCAGAGACCCACCAACTTTACTCCACTTGACAGTGGGCTCTGGGTCACCAACAGCCTGGCATTCAAACTCCACAGAGTTCCCAATCATCACAGTCTGCACTGAGGTGCGTACATTGATCATTACCTTTGGCAGAGCTGTGGAAGGGAAAAGAAAGGAGACAAGTTATATTTGGTTTAGATAAAGAAGTGTATGCATGAGTACATCAGCAGTGGATGGAACAGACCTTGAATGGTCAACCTGGCAGTGTCCTGTGCTTGACCATAGACACTGCTCGCTCTGCAGATGTAAACACCTTCATTGCTCTGCTCAAGGTTCTCAATCCTACAGAAAAGAGATAAATTATACACATGAAAACAAGCCGAAATTCAATTTTGACTTTAGATTTTATTCAATAGTGAAGGGACCTCAGTCTTGATATACTGATATGCAGACAGGTGACAAACTGAAGAAAAAACCTGACCCCTTGACCCCCACAGTGGTAGGATTTAGTGGCTTTGTTGTGTTTTGCAGGAAATTTGGTATGCTTTGGGTCCACTTGTCCTCTTAGAGTAACGAGTCATACAAAATCGGCCTGAGTGATCACCTTTAATCCTACGATAATGCCTCCATCCATAGGGCACAAACTGTCACTGAATGGTTTAATGAAAATGATACGAATCATATGCTGTGGCCTTCACAGTCACTGGATCTCAACCCAACTGAGAACTTATGGGAGATTCTGGACTGACGTGGTAGGCAGCACTCTCCATTATCATCATCAAAACACCAAATGAGGGAATGTGTTTTGGAAGAGTGTTGAATGTGGTAGCCCAACATCTAACTAAACGACTTTATGCTGGGTTTAATTTTATTTTGTCACTCTTCTGTATCTTATTCTGTGTCATATACCTCCATTGCTGAACAAAAACATATTAGTAAGTCACACTGTTGTATTGGAAGACATGTCCCTTCGCCACAATGGATGTGAGCAGTTTATTTTGAGCTGATTCCACATAAGCCATCCTGCTGCTGGAAATACACACAAACACACCAAATCCATGGAGAGAAAATAGACTAAAAAAAACATGTATCAAAATACAGATTCATAGATTAATGCATTGATGTTTTTTCTTTTCATTGATACTGACAAACTGATTTGGTGACAATAGCAAAGATCCTTGATGATGGTGAAGTTATGCTAAATATTTTTTGTAATAGGTTCAGCTGAAAATACAATTAGTAAACACATGCAAAAGTGGCAGTGGGGTTAATATCACAAACAACCATAGATTCCCAGCAGGATTCGTACTTGTATTGTTGTCTATTTTCACTTAATCAAAACCACTCACCTCAGCACTCCATCCTTGACATGGTGGTTCGGAGGCAGGGCTCCTCCTTCCTTCAACCACTCAATCTTGGTTTCTATGCCACCTGCTGCCGAACAGGTAAACTCCACAGCACTGCCCTGGGCTTTAACCTCAACCTGAGGGGATACCCGCACTGCCAAGGGGGCTACATAGAAGAAGGGAGAAGAATTACAAGTGCACAATATTTTTTTCTTGCAGAGTATGCAGTGCAACAGTGCTGTGCAGAGGTTGTCTTTATATTGTATGTGACTTACATCTGACCATGACTTTAGCAACCACTTCGCTGTTGCCCACTTTGTTGCTGGCCACACATTTGTAGCTCCCAGCATCCTCCGTGGTCGCCAGGTTGATCTGGAGATCCCCTCCACTAGCCTGAGCTCTTGGAGGCAGGTTTCCGTCCAGCTTGCTCCAAGTGTAGGTCAAGGGAGGAGTACCGTGAGCCAGGCATTGCAGCCGGATCACCTCCCCAACCCGCACAGCCACATCATCAGGCACAGAGGTGGCATAAGGAGGAGCTAAAGAAAGGAGGGAAAAAAGTTCCCTGGGTTTATGTCTTTTCTTTAGAGATTTGCAAAGAAAATTCACATACTCAGATTGAACCTAAAAACAAGGCAACAACTAAAACTGCAACACTCACTCTCTACATCGAGCATGATGGTGACGTCAGTGGTGCCCATGTTGTTGGTGGCACTACAGATGTACTCTCCAGAGTCCTGCCGGCCAACAGTGGGCAGCACCAGGCTGTTGTTCACCACCTTGTGTCTCCATGGCAGAGGGGACCGCAGCTTGGACCACGTGATCTTTGGGGAGGGGAAACCTATACAAGGTAAAGCAGGGAAATGTAAGTAAATTCTTTGCTTAGCTCAATTTAAAAAAGGCAGTTTCAACTAGAGTGAAATTGTGGTTGTCTTTGGTACAGTGGTGCAATATAAAAAGTGACACAAAAAGATAAGAAAAATAAAATTGTTCAGGTGCAGGCATTACCATGTGCCTCACAGCGTAGCGTTGTAGTCTGTCCCTCCACCACAACCATGAGCGGCTCAGGAACGGAGGCCCTGGGCACTGTAGGCACTTGGGGTCCTCCCACGACGAATACTTCTACCTTAGTCTCGGTAGTGCCCTCATTGTTGCGAGCTGCACACACATATGTGCCGCTGTCTTCTGGACGTGCTACTAGAATCTACCAAAAAAATGTTTTTCCATCAAAACCACTGACTTTGAACCTGTGACTTAAACGAGCAAGTAGAAAGTTTGATTGTTGAACAGATGACAGTGTCACCAGATGTATCAGTACCTGCATGACTGCATTGGACTCCATGGGCACAGGGCTGCTCAGCATGGTCTTGCGGTTGTTGTCTAGCCTGTGCCATGAGACTGAGGGACGAGGCTCTCCTGATGCTTGGCACTCCAGATTAATGGGTTCACCCACCCTGACCCGCACGGGCCCAACGGGTGTGACAGTAGCCACAGGAGACTCTGAAGGCACAGACCAACAGCGCTGCTTTGATTTTCTGATATCTGACCGGCCACTAGAGGGAACCCCTCTCTTACAAGTTTGGGGGTGTGAAGTGGCACATAATAATACACAGTGATGTGCATGTAGCTTACCTTTAACAATCAAAGACACAATGGTATGGGTGATGCCGAATGGGTTGCTGGCCACACAACGGTAGGCACCATGGTTGCTGGGGCGAGCATTGGTAATGGTGATAACAGAACCATCAGGAGCAACTTTAGCATTATCTGCAGGACAAGGGAGCAAATGAAGAAGTAGAGCTGCTTTAGATACTGCAGGAGGCATCTGAAAGATTAGTAATGCTCAACCTGGGAAAAGAGGAGAAGTCTGAAGAAAAAAATTGTAAAAAAGTTTTTAAAAAATCACCAAAAAAAATCACAAAAAAAATGTCCCAGTTTAAAAATGGGTTAACAATTTTCCACAGTCCATTTGAACATTGAACATTGTTTCGCTTGTCATTAAGGTTATTATAGTTAACTAAAACTACACTATACACTAAAACTGGGTGTGAAAAAAATGCTAAATTAAATGTAGAAAAATAGACCTAAGAACATGTAACTAAATTAACAATACTGTGCACTTAGAAACTAACTAAAACTAAATTAAAATACACAGAAAATTGTATTCTTTGTCAGCTGGGTCAAATCTGTGAACTCAACTAGCATGATGGGACGTTGGCGCATACAGTTAATTGAAACTGTCTACATGACTGTGTGTCAACTACCTTGATAAAATGTTGTATTTGTATTGTAATATCTTCTATGAATTTATTAAATCTTGTGCCTGAAAGATTATCCCATATTATAACAAAAATAAAAATACAAGTTAAGACTAAAACTAACTAAACTAAAACTAAACATTTTCACTAGTGAAAGGAAGAGAATGTGTTTTAACTGTAAGCAGTGGGAGACAATCCATAAATTCTTGCCTCATGCAAAAATGTATTCGAAAGTTTATTTGAATTTAATATGAGACTTCAGTAACTGAATAACTGTTTCCTTTTTGAGCAGCAGTTGAGGTATTTTTGTACCAAAAAAGGCTGTAACTCTACAATATACTTATGTGGTTTTATTAACTCTGGCCTGCTGAAGCCTAAAATTATCTTCTGATACACTTTGGAATGTGTTTTTGGAATGTGCAGTACAAACTGGAGGTGTTGGGTTTTAAAAGAAGTGACTGCTAAAGAGGCAGGTAGAGTCTAATGAGCAGCATCTCGGTCCGAGATCTAAGACAACCTATCTTATAATTTTCAAAAATATGGATGTAGAACAAAAGACAAATCCAGCTGAGGCAACTGGATAAACTTGTTTCCATTCTTTTAGAAACATTCTAAACAGAGGCAACCACATCAGCATGGGTGGAAATCTGAGATTAAAATACCATCATGCCATGAAAAATGACCAGACATTACTAATACCGTGCAAAATTTGACTCATGTGAAATGTCAATGCCAATGTAGGAGAAAGAGATGTGAGAGAAACCTCTGAGTTCTCAATTAGTCATTAAATGAAGTAACAGAGGAGTACTTCACGGGTGAATTGTAGCTGTAATTGCTTGTAAATAATTGCATCATAAAATCAGAACTCATTAGGCAGGTTTGTTCCTCAGAGGCAGTGGGTGTAGAGTTATTACCTGGCAGCGGCTGGTTGCTGGCCAGTTTCCACTCCAGTCGAACAGGCTGGGCTCCACTGTACACCCTGCATCTGAAGCTGGCCGACTCCCCCATGCGCACTGCAGCACTGTGGGGTTCAATGGCGATGATTGGGCTCTGTAGGCCTGCAGCGGAAACCAGGGGTTTGGACTCTGGATAAATTCAATTTGAACAATCTCACTTCATCTAGCTGATGCATTATTCACAGGGACCTGAAGTCATAAATTACTAATCAGTGTGGCTACGGGCTTCACTGGCAAAAAGTCAAACATCGTTGAAGTCCAGGAGGGACTGAAGGAGGATGAGATCATGAGACAGTAGTAGGGAAAGTCACTTAGTCTGAGGTCACGCTGGGCAACACTGGAAAGTGCAACTGGAAAGTTCATTCATGAAGTGTGGGAGTGTTAGTCTGAGAACAACACCCTGCTGTGTAATGCTGTGCCCTCAGTGTATTTCTCCCAGCTGCTGACTGATGCTGGCAAGTAATATTCTCCAGTTAGAAAGAAAGTTAAATGAAAATGTCCAATCTAAAGCACAGTGAAGTAGAGTGGGATTAAACACTTGGAACAAATGGGCTCTTGTATCTGTGACTTGTCTGTCTATGATGTATGAGAATAAACTTGCGAGGCCTCGAGTGTTAAACAAACTTACGAGAAGAAGATGAAGTGACGGACACGGACACAGAGGCCTGATGAATATGGGATCCTGACGGGTTGCCCTGAACCCGACAGATGTAGTCTCCTGAGTCTTCTGGAGAGGCTGACAGGATGCGCAACTGGCTGCCCACAACCTGCAGGAAGGAAAGGAGTCACTTCAACTCAGCTTGCAAGAAAAATGCACCATTTTGCTTTCAAAAACCCAGCATAACCACCACTCCCGCTACTGTTACTATAAGACTATGTGCTGATGAGCAAAACATTATGACCACTCACAGATGAAGCCAAAACTTGTCATTATCTTGTAACAGTGCAGGTCAAGGACTGGGAAATATTAGACAGGAAGTAAATATTCGGTTCTCTTGGTTAACTTGTCAGATGCAGGAGAAACTGGAAATGTAAAGAATGTTTTTCTGGGCACCAAAGGCCAAGAGGGCTATGCCATTTCATCCAAACCGACAGAAGGACTGCAAGTCACAGAAAACTTCTATGATGGTGATGAGAAGGATGTGTCACAGCCCACTGGGCATTGCACCCTGCTGTATATGTATACAGTCACGAGTGTCCAAACTGTATCTTGGAGCACTGGAAGACGGACAAAGTCCAATGAGTTCCAATGTCTTCTACATCACGTGGACAACTTAGCATGTGTGGGCCATTCGCACTGTGAGAAGACATACCGGTGCCAATTTCCCCAGATCTCAATTCAATCAAGCATCTGTGGGATGCACTGAACCAACAAGTCCAATCCATGGCAGCTTCACCCCTCAACTCACTGGACTTAAAAGATTTGCAGCTAATATTTTGTTGCCAGATACAACAAGGCGTCTCCAGAGGTCTTGAAAAGTCCAGTCCTCGGTGGGTCAGAGTTGTTTTGGCAGCTCACAAAGGACCAACAGCACATTAGGCAGCTGGTCGAAATGTCTTGGCTCCTCAGTGTACAATACTAGTATGCTGGCGAAAATGACCAGAAAAATGCATAAATATTCAAACAAAAGTGGATTTTGCATATATCAGCACATATTTCACATGTACATGAGAACTCTACTCTACTGGAGAATCTAAATCCATGTGCTTACATGTGCTAAACGGGTTTCAAACTGCAATGTCAGTGCTGTGCAGCGACTTGACTCAAATAACCACATTCATTAGATGGTCTGGAAAACACCTCAAAGGTCTTTACCAGCATGTAAGATGTCTCTAATCAAATGTGGGCACAATGTTGCACAAAGTGTTTACCTGGTGGTTGGCAGAGAGGCGCCCACTGGCTCTCGTCCAGGTGACTGGGGGAGGAGGATTTCCAGGAGCAAAACAGTTGAGCTCCAGACTCTGGCCCTCCTGGACGTCAGCTATAGATGGCTGGATGCTAACAGCTGCGGAGTTATGGTCGGCTGCATGAACACAAACAGATGCACCACAAACTGTAAAAAACATAAATGTCATCTATCAAAAGACACTGTAGATAAAACCCAAGCAGATAACACAACTGAATAAAAATATTAGAGACTTGTTTGTGCCATCTCACCTTTGAGCACGCTGACTTTAATGGGAGAGCTATTTGAGCCGACGCTGTTGCTGCCAACACACATGTATGTGCCTGAGTCAGACATCTTGATGTTGGGGATGAGCAGAGTACCGATGTCGGTGCGGTCCATTCGTGCCTGGAAAGGACACACCAATAAGTGACTGGATTAGGAACTTATCTCAGTTAATGTGCTTTACCTTTTATCTGCCATGACACACAGCACTGGTCAATCAGTGCCTCCCACCTTTTCCCCTCAGAATCAGCTCCTTTTTTGTACAGTAGCTTTGGTATGTTTGGTGAAGTCACGTTAATTTTTCTCTCACATCATCCTCTTAACTTCATAACTACAGGAGGCAAACGTGAAATTTTCAGGGATGAAAAGCAAACTTGAGTTCTGTTACAAACGAAACTGCGACCACATCAATTCTACATCCTCTCCAGGTGTCACAATATGAGGGCAAAATCCCAATAACACAATTTTTTTCTATGACTGGCGTTGAGCATAAATATCATAGTTTTTATGGGAAAGCGCTTCAGTTTAATGTCTGTGATATAATGTAAAAGAAAAACAAAGCCATTACTTCCCTGAATGCGTTTTCTGATAAGTCACTGAAGAACACTTCAAAGAGTGCATTTGGGTAAACATTTAAGGGTAATATCGCCATCTAGGATAGGTGGTTGGTCAAAATGACATATAGCACAGAAAAGGTCTAATTTTTACCTACATTTTGATACCATTCTCATCTTCTAACTGTGATTCCTTTTGTGTCAAACAATTTTATAATATGGTCGTATTCTAAAACTTGTGAATTGAATTATGGATTTAAAAGGGAGAGCAACACTGGTGTTCACATGTTTTATATGATAGTTTGGACAAATCACATTGATCAGACAAGTTGGGAGCATTCAATGCTTGTTTGGGCATCTTTCAAATTCTACTCTGACAGTGTTAAGTTCCTGTTCTGTCGGTTTGTACTGTTGGCATGCATAAAATTTCGACCCACCCCCATGTACTTGAAAAACATTCATAGTATGAAAGTAATATTTTGCATGACTTCATTAGATATAACAATGTTATTGTACATTAAAAATCTGCTGATTCTGAGTGTCACAAGTGGAAACTTTTGTCACATTTGGTTGACTTCATATGGAATAACCCATTACTTTATTCATATTTGCACCATAACAGTGAGGATAAATCGTACACAGCACATCACTTACCTGCCTCACGTCCCTTGAAACAACACATATATAACATTGCTGACATTGTGGCACTACTAGCTAATAGCAACACAAAAGCACTACAGCATAGACCTTTTAGACAAGACAAAAGCTGTGATTGCTACAGTTTGTACATTTGTTTATGATCTCAGTGACACTGTACTTAGTACTACGCAGTGTACTAAGTAGCGCCAACACATCTACGATGATTGGTGAGATTTTTATTTGTTAATGTAACATGATCAGCGACAACTAAGTTGACTATGGCATCATATTTGTTCTAAAAGAATTAATGACTGATGATTACAAAATGATGAAAAAATTAGCACAGTTAGCAGAGAGTTGATTTGAGCCAGAGGTTTCTCAGTGAGCATTACAAAGTAGGTCGACCAATTTGGGAAATATCACTAGCCAGTGCCTTTTAAAGTCAAAATATCCACCATCAAATATCTCAGAGCCATTATGGAGTAAGAGCCAAAAAACTCTGCATCAGTTTCACTCATATTTAAGACTTTCTGGCTCATGAGCTATCAACAGCTTGACTTGTTTGTACACTACTCCACATGGCAGTCAGAGGCCCAGCAAGGCTGAAAATGAGCTTGCATTAAGTTTGGAAACACCTCAGAGAGGAGGCGAATCAGGAGGGGAGGGTCTGGGGAGGGATTACTGTATCCGGGGGGTGTTGGGGCATCCATGGACAAAGCTGCTTAGCTCCGGCCCATTCAACCGTGAGGGAGGCTAAACCGAGCAGTGGCTGAGGCGGGCCCTGGCTCAATGTGTGTCTGAACCCATTGACGAGTTTTCAAAGCAAGCCGTTTGCTAGAGCATACAGAATTTCTGCGTGGTCGCACGGCAGAGCCCGGCTCCCCCTGGGAAAGGCTGACACAACGCAGTGGCTCTCTGAGGCAGAACTAAACAGGCCCTGAAGCCCTCGACGAGCCGCAGAGGGCCGTGTAGAAACCAGACTAACACAAAACCCGATGGGGCAGGGGGGCAGCAGGCTGCGCCTGGCATAGAGCAAAATATGTCTGAATACCTACAGTACCTACTGTATACTTAGGCCTGTTAATACACGCAGTGGAATGATGGGGGTCAACTGGGTGCTGAGAACCCAAACATGTCAGGGATGGCATGATGTGGACAGTACAAAACAAGACACTATGGAACACCTTCATTAATAAAACGCAACATAAAAACAGGTACCGCATGCAAGTACACTGAGAAGTCAACCAGACCCAGTGAGTTGGTTTTAATGGATTTGGCAGCAGCTCTAAAGGGACTCAGTGAGCAGCTGTGGTAAATTAACATGGTTTACAAGGTGTGAATCAAGGACACGTTTGATCATGCACTTAGTCGACAACGTGTGAAGACGAGGTCAGTAAAGGACAATGGATGTGAACTACGAGACGGGACAGACAGACAGCGGACAGATGGACAGACCTGCAGCTCCTCAATACGTCTCTGTAACACATCGAGACTGTTGCTTTTAAACTGATGGAAACCGTGAGAGGGAATGGCCTGAGCAAACGTCAGAACAGGGTAGGATCAAAAAACAGGGGGGAGGAGACAAACAGAAGGGAGGGAAAAATAAAGGTAAATGGTCAAAATGCTGAAACAGTCACAAGAAATACCATCGGCACTGGACATACCTCGAGGTTTAAGATACAGATATAGCACAGAAGAATGTAAATATTGTTACAGTTTTATTCAGTCTATGTTAAAGTCGTCATCCAGGCAGTGAGGCAGCGGGAGATGTCTCACCTGGGGAGGGATCTGTCCTCCATTTTTCAGCCAGGTGAGCTTCGGGGTGGGTGATCCTGATGCTCTGCAGTACAACCTCAGGGTGTCGCCTTCGTGGACCTCAATATTTTGGGGACTGACTTGGACTTGTGGTTGGGTGCCGAGGCCGCTTGGGTTATTTTCTAACCCAAAGAATGCATTTTGATCATTCAAACACCTAATACATCCACCACACTCAAAAAAAAACATCTGTCTACACATAGTTGTTTCCATCACTTAAATTTCTCTCTGTTTGTTGATTAAACCCCTAAAGCCTGAATTCAGTGTATCAAAGTTATATATTTAGATTTTTTCTAAGAAAATAATCCCTTCATGTTTTAAAACAGCTTAGATGTAACTCTACACTGTCTCAAGATCCAGAAAGTTCTTCTCTAGGAAGTCCCTACAGGTAGTTTGACCTGCCAGCTCACCTACAACTCTACTGAAACAATGTAAAGCTACTCTACACTAATCAATGACAAGTTGTCATATGGAATAATTCAACCATACATGTTCATTGTCTTCCAGCATATAGAAAACACCCTATGAGCATGTGAAAAACTTGATTTTCACCAGAGGGGGCCTTGAAGAAGACATAGGATTGACTTCCATAACTACCCTATCCCTAAGGTCCAACCATTTTCACTGCAATCTGCACAGAGAAGATAGGCAATACCTTCCAAATGGGTCTATGAACACATATTTTTGTCTCTTCACTCTATAATAAAAGTTTACACACACATAAAGACAGAGCATACTTTGAACAAAGAGGGAAACCCGTGCTGTGTGCTCGCCATGAGTGTTCAGGGCCTTGCAGGTGTACTCTCCCTCATCAGCCGGGTCCACTGCTGTGAAGGTCAGCACGCCACCTCGGATCACGGCTCTGGGACTCATTCTGTTCCCTGGACCTCCTGTAATAATCACACGATTACAGCCTGTCAGCAAGGACATAATCAGCAGTAAAACATTTCTTTTCGCTTGAGTGGATTTCCCAGAATCATCCGAGGGTATTAACAAAATATGGCAAATGACAACAGAAAAAGGGCCTTTCCACGCTATCTTTCCTGCACCAAACCGTTAAAAACAGGAGTTTTCACTGGTCGTACCGATCCATTCGATGGCCGGGGTTGGGTTTCCAGTCACTGTGCAGCGAAGCTCTGCCCGCTGGCCCTGCTGGACATTCAGCACTGAGGGACTGATGGTGGCCACGGGTTGGGCCCCCTCTGCAGCTACAGAAGGAGACACGGGGTCAACAGCTCTAAAAATGAACGCTGAGAAATAACACACTGGCTGTCTTTTGGTGCAGTGGTGAAGCAGAATATGAAGCTTTGTCAGGAGTCTACAACCGCTGCTTGGACATTATGTTATTATTAAGCTGTGGGAATGCTTTTGATGATAAGGAAGTGAGCAGACTGAGAGGGAGAGTGATGGCCTCTGCCTGTGCCCCCACCCCTACAGTTGGCAGCTGAGATCCTCAGTGCAGACAAAACAGATGAGATGTGGCAGGCAGTCCTTGGCCTGGCCTCCGGGCATAATGCCGTCTGCGCCAGTTTGGCTGGCTGCTAGACTTCGTATTCAATCCCATATGATCCCAGGGTGGCAGGGTGAAAGAAAGGCCTCTTTCAGTACGGAGGGTGGAGTATGAGGGTATCTAAGAAGGCTGAAAACCTCTGGGACCGCCATAGGCTGGGCTCAGCTCTGACTTTCTGACCCCGGTGACACCAACACTCCTGGGCGGACGGAGAACTCAACGTCCTCTGTGGGACACGGGGCAGACATGAAGTCTACACTGAACACTAAAGCAGCATCTAAGATTGATTTCAGTTGTGCGTGTAGAGGTGTTTTGTAAAGATCGATTACAATAAATGGCCCAGGAGATAAAACTTAAAGTACTGAAACACCCAGATTCGGAGAAAACATAACTGGTCACTTCATTTCCACTAATAGTATCTATCCAAGAAGTCCGTTTTTGTTTGATCTGTCCAGATTTTGAGATATCTGTCTGCCAGCTGTAGAATTTTAAATATTAATTTCTACTTATTAAAGCTTAAAAAAGACTAAGAGGCTGGAGCCAGACAAAAGCTCAGTGAGCGTGTACTAAACATTCAATTTCAGCTAAATGTTAATGAGAATGCTAGCATTCTTCTGTTTAAGAGGTACAATGTTTGTCCTGTTCCCATCTTAGTTTAAGGTGTTAGCATGCTAACATTTGCTAAAGATAATGGAATGTGTTGGGCCAAAGTGTTGGATGGATTACATTTCTGGCCTGTTGATGGTGCTATGTGAAAAGTTATGACATTATCAAAGTTACAGTTGATTTTGAAGGGTATGTGCACCAAATGCCAATGCAATCCATCTGACAGCTGTTAAATTTTACTTAAAATCGCAAAAGTCGGGGGATTAGCACAGTCAGTGGGAGTTATCTGTTGATTACAATGAATTCTACTCAACTTTATTGTAAATTAATACAACTAGCTGCTGCCAAAGTGGCAGACAACTGACTAATCAGCCATAAATGCTGTAAGAATTTAGATACTGTATCCCTCTTCATCTAAATATTACATAAATCAGATCGTTTGTAGTTCCATTCACCTTCTCAACTCTTGCAAGACAGCAAAGAAACATATCTCTAAATCTGGACAGCTGAAACTAAATTTTATACCACTACAGATAAGTAAGGAAAAAGGCTTTTTTATTCGTTTGGATGAATGAATCCTGTGCAACATAGTTTGACTTCCATCTACAACCCCCTTCGCTGATATTTAAAGCAGTCTGCCACGCACATTCGGCTACAATATAATGAAGTTGTGATGGGATGTATTAGGCACAGTATGATGTTTGAAGCCCAGATGACAGTTTCTAAGCAGTACAGCATGTTTCCTGAAAAAGATAGAGGAAATTGCAGAGGAAAAGAAGATAAATATGAAGTGACATCTCCTGACTCTGAATGTGGAGATTCTGTCACCCAAAACACCAAAGTACATCTGTAGGACTACATATTGTAAGAACTGTAAAATATTATGTTTTTGTCCAATTTGGCAGGATAACATCCTGCGAAATCGCACAATTCGTATCAGATTTACTGAGCGACTGAATGATTACTTGTCTATAATACCAGGCCTGTGAAGTATACTAGAGTAATAAGGCCTACAGCTACGAGACAACACTAACTATGATCTTTTACAAGGATGGAAAGTAGACTCGACATTCATGAGGAGTTGCCCATAAGAATGAACATGCACTTTTTCCTGCAGTGATGGACCCCAATGAACCCAAAGAGTCAGGTAGGAGCCAGTAATGCCCATGTACAATCTTAAAAGCCTTGACTTTAACAAGGACACAAGAATCCATCTTTACATCACAGATTAGACAACCGTTTTGGAGCAGCACATGAGGCAGCATGGAAGCTCCAGGCTATTGAGCATGTAGTTTCCGCAGCTGTTGCTTGGTCGACTGTACATGGGCGTTATCGGGCCCCGCAGTGTATCCATGCTGCGGAAGATGAAGTGCATGCATGACACGGAGAAGGAAAGTCGGGTTCCTCCAGGGAGTCCCGGCAGAGAGGAAACCATGCCCATGCGGACTTACGCTTTCTGTGTCCTTCAAACATTTCATACGCTGTGTAAAACATCTGAGTCTGTGAGGCCTCTGGAGATGGGGGGAGGGAGGAGTAGGGATGGAGGGAAGGAAGGAGGGGAGGGAGGGGGACAGGTAAACAGGTAAAGCAACAGCAGTTTACCTCCCATCTCCCCCAGAGACACTTACATCCATCTCTGCACGTGGGCCGCCTTGGCTGTGATTCCAAAAATCTTCACACACACACACACACACGATGTAAACATGCTTACAAGTCATGAACCTGAATTCATCCGGCACCTCCTTTTCCGTTTCTTTGTTACACATGTGCCATTTGATTCACAGTTTCATGCAGTCAATCTTCATACTTACCTGATGTTTTTTTTTATTTTATTTTATTTTTTGAGACGTGAGCTACGAGCTGAAGTGTGTCGGTTAGATCATTTTATGCTCATCTAATACTCAGCCGAAACCACCTAGGACTATAAACATGTACAACAGACAAACATAGCAGTGCTTCAAATTGCTTATTGTGCTCTGAAAGCACAATCATGATGCATGAACACACACGTACACTTGAAAAAAACATAACTGAGAGAACGGTGCAGCAACAAAAAGACAGATGAGGATGTGCAGAGTAGCCACAGTGAGACATGCTGGTTAGTAGCAAGAAGCAGTTTTAAAACATTAAAAAAACACTAGTTTCATTTCAGCTGTTAAAAAGTCGACATACAGCTTGTGGTTATCCTGAACCAATCGATCAATATAACACATGTAAATGAGCCCCATCCATAAATTAACGAATCGCTTTGTCATTATTTTAATCAATTTTCTCTTTTTCACAAAATATTTTCACAGTTAAGATAAATACATTACAACATGACGTGTACATGACATCGGTTAGGTGTTGTTTAAAAAGAAATATTTTTTTAAAAAGAGTTAAATCTTTACAGAAGCACCTTTGTATATATTTGCAATCATATAGCCCTTGAATTGAAATGAATGAACAAATTAAAAAAAATGCAAAGAAAGAAATAAGCACCAAATGGTTAAAAATATGACCTGTGATTGTTCAGAAAGACGTCCTCAGAGATATATAGGAATATTTTCTTGAAAACACTTGAAATTGCCTGAATGTAAACACACATCGTACAAGGTAATTGTATTCACACGGCCAATTCCTTTTGAAAAATAAAAGAAAGAAAGAAATTCTAACATTTCTAATATATTTGATTTCATGGAAACATTTTAGCTATAACATACAGTATTTCAGTCAATTAAAAAATAAAATGTGCCGACAACATTGACAGAGTTAAACATAATATACAACTGAAGTCGATTATTGACAAAATAAGGGTTAAAAATCTTTTCTTTTTTTTCTTTTTTCTTCTGTATTTCAAGTCAGATCTTAATTATTTTGCCGGCCAAATCTGACAAGTAACAAAAACAGGTCGACTTTTACCGACACAAAAGAAGTGATAATACAGTAGTATTACAGTAGAGAGTGAATTTAACCACAGGTTTAATCAGCTGCATGGCTAATAGCACCGTTTTGTTTATTGACATTCATCAACAGGATGATGGAGGACAGTAACACAGCGGGAAGTAATTTCAGGAAGGAATACTGTAAGGAGGGGAGAACAACACAAAACATGGTGGGCAGCGGGGCTTCTTTCTACTCCTCCTTTATTGCAGATACACTGAAGTCCTCTTTGAATGTCAGTCGCTGAGTCACTAAGCACCCATCGTGGCATCTGCATCCCCCCCTCATCATTACACACTACCGCTCAGACAGGGAGGAACCCAGGAGCCCAAGACGTTAAAGACCACATTTCAGCACCCTGCTAGTAAAACGTTCGGCAGCACCAATGAGAAGAGCTATCAGTGATTGAGAAGCAACCCAAACCACCACCAATTAATTCAAACCCGTGTGAAAAAAGGAAATAAACTCTGTATTAGCTTCAGTACAGTGTTGGCAGAAAGCATTACCCACTAATTTACAGATACAAAGGAGTGATGATTTGGACTTTGAGCGCCCATTAGTTAAATCTAAATCTGCACACTTTACCACGTGTGTTATGTGGAAATTTTGCGCTCGAAATTTTGAGTTATAACCAAACCCACAAGCTGTATTTCTTCATATAAAGTCCAGGAAATTCCACTAATCAGACATACAGGCAGCAAGTTAAAATAAAGGCAGGAGAGAAGCTTGACTGGCAGCATGATAATGAGATATATGTGGCATCTGAGAGCAGACAGCAAAAGCAATGGGAGTTAGAAATGCAAGCCACACCACACGATGAGAGAAATGCAGTAAAACAGAGAAGCATGCACCATTCCAAGCTGAAGGGGGGGCTCAAGTTTAAGGTGAGGAACTACAGGAGCCAGAGCTGGTGCGGTAGCAGGGGGTGATGGGTAATGGAATGCAGTGCCGAGGATCACGAACCTGGCACGTAGAGGATGGCATTGCCCTCGTCCATGGCAAACATGTTGGAGCCGGTGCAAATGTAGACGCCGGCATCCTCTGGTTGGACGTTCTGAATTGTCAGGATGCCGTTGAAGTCCATGGCACGGTTGGGAAGTTTCCCGTTACCTATCCGGGTCCACACCAGTGTGTAGGCGGGTGACTGTGGATGGGTGAGGAAACAAACAGACATCATAGGTATGCAATCATGTCCGCGCTACTGTTTACACATGTATAATGGTTTAGATGAGAAGATCAATACCACTCAGTTACTCTTGGCTGGTTAGCCTGGATTCATGGAAACATGAAGACAGTCAGTTTACACATTTGAAAATAATAAAAAAGCGTTAACCAGTGTTACCTTGCTCTTTGCAGTACAGATGAAGCTGACAGTAGATCCGACTCTGACAGTCTGAGCTTTCGGCTCCTCAACTGTTACCTCAATGGCTTTGGACTGGACACCTGATGAGATGCCGAGAACATCAGATTATCCTTATTGTTAATGAATCATAAAAATGAACTTCATTTAATCAACTGTACCAATAATAAAAAAAAAAAAAACATTTCAAATTCACTGTAGAAATTAAAACTACCCCTTTAAAACTAAACAACACATTTAATTTATCAAACTTACTTTTGGCCAGCTCTGTATATCTTCTCACACTTTCATAACTCCAGATACCAAACATGCACCACACTGCTATCAACTAAACTGAAGAGTGCAGTCTTACAAAATCTGTGTTTAACTATGGATGGTATCTATTTAGTGTGCTGCAATAAGCCCCATGAGGGCAAACCTATCTGCTGATATGACGCAGAGACGAATACACACTTGTGACAACAATTTCAGCCCGGCTCCTGTTCGTGCTACGCTGGTCCCGGCAGGTACAGACGTAAACGCCAGCGTCACTCGGCTGGACGTTGGGGAAGTACAGTTCTGCTCCTGCACACACAAGCAACAGGGGTTGTATTCATACAGAAGATGCCGTCCTTTACATAGTAATATCGGTGTGTTCGGAGCACTTGTTCTGTACCTTGTCTGCGTCTGTCAGCACTGCCGGAGATGGGCCGTCCATCCTCTCTGGACCAGTAGAAGTAGTGTGGAGGAGATCCAGACACCTGACAGCGCAGAGTGACGGGGCCGCCCTGTGACGCCAGGACCCTTTCTGGATAAACCTTCACTACCAGGGAGGCTGCAACTGCAATATGCAATGGCCATAAGAAACTCATCAGGAATTCACTCTGAAAATATCAAACAAATTGCATCAGAGTGGCGTTTCACTGCTCAGACAGTAAGATAGACTTAGCTCTGTCTGGATAATAAAATTAGGTGGTTTTCATCCAATGAGATTGCAGCCAAATCAAGTCAGGGGTACAGTTAACCTTTTGAACTGAATGATTTTTGCTCATGTCATATTTTTTTTTCACTTATTTTTCGCTGCACTGAAGTTCTGAAATTCTCTCTGTGTATACCTGCAATCAGGCTGTCTTTATTTAGCGGGACCATATGTGCTATTAAATGTTCAACATCAGGCCATGTTTAATTAATTCCACCAGCAGAAGTGACAGGCAACTTTACTAATTTACAAACTAAATTTACAAACCCTTTTCTCCACCTCCATGTAAAATTCCCTCCACCTTTTAATGTCAGCAGTATATAGGTCGAAACACATGCAACACAACAAGAGCAATGTATTTTCTCCTGGGAACAGAATTAAAAGGTTTAACTATTGACTTTATGTTTTGACAGGAGGACCGTTTAGCCATGTTTCCACGTCATCTTACCATCGTTTGGACGACACTTCTCTCTCTCCTGTGGGTTGCCAACATATCCAGGAGCACAACTGATGAGGGCAAAAATCGACACAGACACAGGACTTAACCACAGACCCTTGCAAACACTGAGTCAGTCAAAGAAAACATTTTATCTGGCTCAATTTTTTACTAAGTTTCCTGTAATATAAGTGAAAATTGCAGGTTGTACAATTAAGACAGCAGGTGGAATTGATCTGACATAAACTGCTTTAACCGATTTTATAAATTATTTGTACCCACATTAGGAGAAAGAGTTGGGTTATCTTACCGCTCACAGTACTGGCCGGTGTAGCCAGGCTGACAGGCAGTACACTGGTAACCTCCATTTCCAAGGCTCTCGCAGGTAGGAGAGAACCTGTTAAAGAAGTCACACACAAGAAACTACAGCAAAGTGCAAAAAACGAGACTCAATATCCACAACTACAGTGCAAAGTAAAGTAATTTAGTGTTTGTTGATTGCTATGAATAAACTGATACATTTTTTGAAGGTATTTGGATATTTTTCAAGGAATTGCAAGGCACAGCTGTGACTGTTTTAAAGCAAAGCAGATTGTGAGAAAAAATACAAAAACAAAACAAAATGTGATGCTTAAAAATAAACAGATTTGCAGTAGAAGCAGATGCTCCAAATTCCTCAATTTATGAAGAGATTTCTTTATCACTTTTTCAATATATATTGTAAACAATAAACTTTTTCAACAATTTTGAACTCTTTTCAACAATTTTGAAAAAAAAGAAAAAAGAAAAAAAAGATTTTCTGTTTTGTAGAATTACAGATAACAATTAGTAAAATCACAGTAACATGCATTCACTCACATCTGTTTTTGCAAAAGTATAATTATTTTACAGATATTTGCTATTATTTAAAATTAGAGTGTTGTACCACATTTTTAAATAGTTATTTTAGGCATTTTCCCTGTTTTGTTAAATTACAGACATGTTCTAAAATAAAAATAAAAAACTAAGTAAGAAATGTCCAAATCAAAAAATTTGTGTTTACAGATAGTAGTGTGCTCTTTAACAATGTGACTGAAAATTACACTATTTCACTGTATTTAAATCTGCTAAAAATATCACTGCTTTTCACTTTTTTGTTTTGTTTGTTTGTTTTTTACGGTTTTTATTTTTTTGTTTTCTGGCACCCTCACTACCAGATTTTAAGTATTGTTGATGGAATTGTGTTTTTTTAACAGTGTAGTGTAGCATTTATTAGTACTGAACAGCAAAATCATGATTTGTTAACCTGAAGCAAGTGTGAAAAGGGAATTATACAATATTTGACTTTACCCGGCAGAAAACGGGTTAATGAAATTTCCTGAGCGCCAGAATTAACAAGACAGGGTAATTTTCTATAAACACGGGTGCTGGACACAGAGTTGTCCTGAGCTATAAATGGAGGTGGAATGTGAAGTCTTGGTATCTGTGCCAGTTCTTACTGGTTGTCTGGGTCAGTGTGAGGGCAGGCGCAGGGCTGGCAGTCCTCCGGAGTGCCAACAGTGGGGTCGCCGAAGAAACCAGGAGCGCACTGCTCACAGAGCTCCCCCTGTGTGTTATGCAGACAGCTCTGGAAGGAGACACATATCATGTTTAGAGATCTGCTCATCTAATCAGGCATCTATAATCTAGAGAACGGTCATATGATGGTTTAGTGTCTCGTACCGTGCAGATGCCTGTCTCGGGGTGACAGGAGTCAGAGTGGCCGTTGCACTCACAGAGCTCACAGTGACCCAAGTACAGGCCTCCTCCAGTGCGAGTGTATCCAGGTGCACAGTCCTAAAAGTGAAGTAAGTGATTTAGGTACAATCAACTCCTTGCTTCCATTGAGGTCAACAATTCAGAAAGAATCAGAGAAATTCAAAGGATTGGATAAGGACCTGGCAGGAGAGCCCCTGGTATCCAGGTGGGCAGCGGCACTGCTCCACCTCGAGGGCCTGAGCCAAGCCGCTGTAGTTGGGTACAGAAACCTCCATGTTGATATCAGAGATGCTGGAGGAGCGCATCTCACTGGAGTAAGATGCTCGAATCAGGATATCATCGAGATCGGCCAGAACCATCATCAGGTGCTCCCGGGTGGCGGGCATGCCGTCAGGTCGACGCCAGTTTTCCTATAAAATAAAAAAAAATTAAAAACCCAGCTATTTGTGTGTGATATCAACACAATTTATGAAACACAAATCTTTTTGCTTGCCAGGCTTCAGGAAGATAAGAAGGTAGAGGTCAGACTTAGTCACAGATCCCTTTAACAAGCAGTTTTCTTGCTACAACCCTTTAAGTACCCCATTTAGCATTTAACACCCATCAGTGGGGGCTGCTGTGCAAAAAGATAATGAATAACAACATAATAAAACACAATATAGAGCAAAAAATCTAAAATACATCTTCATAGGAGGAGTTGTAATTTTTGACAAATACTGTACTTTGTTAAACATTTATAACTGTTTATATTGTGACCATTTCAAAAGTGTTTGCATAAGTCTTCAAAATGCTAAACAGGGAGGCTTAATGATATTACTTTTGTTTATGAGCTGTTGTTACCACTCACTTCTCTGAAGACAATCTCAAACTGTTTGGTCTCTCTGCTGCCCTGCTGCCTCCTCGTCCAAGGCTGTTGAGCTACCAAGGTGATGTCATTACCCTACAGAAAGAACAATGAACACTGAGTAAATTCTCCAAATGCCTGTAACTATAGCAGAAAACAGCGAATCAGCTCGAGGGCACACTCACGATAATCTGGACATCAGCGTCGTCAAGTAGTGTTCCCCTTGGACCAGCCACGTAGGAAATGGTGTATTTAAGTTTGCCGCCGTAAGAACCAACCTAAAATGTAGATGTTTTGTCAGATTAAACAGTGCTGTGTTTGCTGTGATGAAATAGACACACAAAATGCATTAAAAATCAGCACCGAGTGGCTGTTGAGAGGGTCAGTGTTGGTGCCAACATCAAATCCCTGTGTGCTGGAAGGATGTTTTTCCAGAATGTAAAGTTACCAGAGTTAATAGGATGTGGTGACACTACTGTAACTGTCAATTATATTCACTTACAATTTGCAGGTGAGTAAATAAGTAAATTTTACGCACACATGTTTCAAGAAGTTTTTCCAAAGTATTTATTAAAAGGATGATAGAAACTAGTTACACTGTGGGATGTATAGTATCAAAATTCCTTAATAAATTAAATGTCTCATTACAGAAACCCAAGCAGTAGAAAGGAATATTTGTTGTTTAGATTTCAAATCGTACAAGGGTCATGGACAAAAATGAGGTAGTTATTTAACATGGTAACAAGGCCCCTCTGCTACTACAGAGGAGGATAGTAGCGCAGGAAATCAAGAGGACACTATTAGGGACATCTGGGACACAGTTAAGGTTGTGTGGACAGGTGAGGGATCAAACAGAAGGGAACTGAGGGGTAGTGGAAAGGCTTGAGGATACTAGTTCAGTATTTTTTGTGACTTCCAGCAGTCAGGTGAGGGCTTCACCCTAAAATTCTCACAATTACCTTATCCCCTGTGAACTGCGATGGGAGCTGCCAGTAGAGCAGATCATCCTGTTGCAAGCTGAAACCTTTGTAGACCAGAACGTACTGAGAGGCAAAGGGGGAAGGAGAGGCAAAAGAGAATAAGCCACAGACAGAGAGAGAGAGGCAGCGAGACCAAATCATAAGCAGGCAGACAAGCAGCACAAGCAGGCAAGCATGGCCAAGAGTAAAGCCTGACAAGACAATCAGGACGAATGTATGACATCTAGCTTCACATTCTCTAGTAAGAGTGCTTTTAAAGACTCAGTTCTTTTGCGGCCTTTTAATAACAGGATAGAAATCACACCGTGCCTTGTCTGACAACTAAAACAGCAACTTCCACTGTCACTAATGTGAAAATGACAGCTTTAGATGTGGCACAGCATAATGAAAGACCACTGTTAAACCAGTGTTACTCTGTGGTGGAGAATTACAGTGCACTCTGTGACGGCAATGACTGGGAGTTATTTGCTCAACAATTGAAATATCTCCCAATAGCTCATTATAATTAAATGAAATATCCATTCTTTAGTAACTAGAAACTAGATGTGTTAAGCATTACTTTATTAGACCATCATTTTACTCTGTTAAGTGTTGGCACAAGCATCTGAACTAAATATTAACTGCCCCGGACAACCTAATAAAAACTGGCTGTTAATAAACTTCTAAGCTTTATGATCAAAGACAGCAGTTTGCTATATACATAGATATGTGCCAAGAGGCAAGCCATGAAGTCAGTCACTCAGTCATGCTACTGTCTACCTTGCTGTTGCCCCCAGAAGCACCAGCAGTCTTGCTCACTGTGTTCTTGCTCTGTTGATCCGCAGTAGAACCAGATACCAAAGAGAAACACAAGGAGTCACCAATATGACCAAGAAACAAAAAAGAATACTAAACTAGGGATGTCCCAGTCCGGTCTCAAACATTGGGATCGGTGTCAATCCGATATTTTCTGACAATTGCTGTCTCATAGGTGCCGTGAATAGAGAGCAGAAGTTGCAAATTATGAATAGTTTTCTAAATCAGTAGTCAGTGGTGTTGTCAGTGGATTAATTGAGCAAATTGAGCAGTGGACAATATGTCCTGTGCTGTACTGCTGTTTTACTCATTGGACACATTATATGGTGCTGCAAAGGCTGCTTTGGTGTATACGTCACTAGGATATTAGAAAACTTTCCTAGTTGATCCTTGCTTGCCGTTAACACATGAACTCTGGTCAGAGGCAATTAAGTGTAGCAGAAGTCTTTGTCATGGTGGCCCATTGCTAGCTAAAACTTCACAATGCTTTCTGATTGTCAAAACAGAATTGCCCGCAGTGAAAGTGACCACCTCCTGGGGTTGCTACAGCATTAAACAGTAGTACAAGTACTACATCTATTCTACCAATAATGCTCTGGCATGCATGTAGAGAATACAGTGTATAATATCTAGGAAAACAGCAATGGTTTGGGAATCAACATCAGCAGATGCTAAATACTAAGGGATACGGAATTCATCAGGGAAAAAAAAAAAAACTTGATCGTGACATCCCTTTTCTAAACCATACATAAACCCCTCGCAATCAGTGATAGAGTACCTGCAGATGAGGAGCATGGCCTGGGGAGTAGGGTTGGGGCCGGGTTGGTCTAACTGAGGAGGAGATACCGGATGGAGAAGAAGGAGGGCTCAGGTTACGCAAAGACCATCGAGAGGAAGAAGAAGAGGGAGTTGGGACTCGAGAAGAGGAAGAAGACGAAGAGGAGGAAGAGGGAAAGGAGGAAGATTTAGAGGCGGGAAAGATTGGAGGGGAACCAGGTCGTCCATTGGAGAAATTAGAGAGGAGTGCCCAGACCTCATCGTCCAGCTGTCTGACTTCACCCTGGGTAGGCGGAAAGTGGGGTACCAGAGAATACGTAACCATGGGAAGAGCCAAGATGGCGACAGTGGTGTTTGAGATTTTAGTTCTTCCACTGATGTAGCCACTTTAGGTGGAACATGTCATGCAAGTCAATGATGCTTGGATCTGTGATACCACCAATGCGTATGCATGCACAGGTAACTAGAGGGGTATACTATGAAGCAAGTTTGACATAGCCAGGTTTGCTTTGTGTTAGCTAAAAAAAAACTAAAACCCCAATCAAAGTTAACGGGTATCCCGACAGTGGTTATCAACATTATTTGTTCACTCAGGCTTAATTATCCGCCTCCAGCTCATTCCCAAAAATGATGCCATTTGACTCTTTCCCACAGAATGGACTGACTGCATGTTGCCTTCATACGAAAAAAAGACTGCTATACGAGAAAGCTATGAAGAATCTAAAAATGTATTATGGTAAAAAGCACTGTTACTGCATATTATGCGAGAGAGGAATGCTGGTAGAAAATGTTTAATCGTGTAAGCTAATATATTTCATTAAGCACTCTGTGACTCTCAGTGAAGCTCCTTATTTCTAGCATGGCAGCTGCAGTTTGGAGCACTTAAACTTGAAGCCTCATTCATTTAAACATGATACTCAATAAGAGCATTTAGGTCTGTCACTGTCGTATAATGAAGGATACGTGTAAATTATTTTAGCTTTTGGCCAAATAAAAGTGAAATTAATGATATTGATTGACTCTTCTCTGTGATAAACACGCTAATCAATTTTCTATTACCTGCAGTAGCAGCAGTGTAAAACACATGTGGCAGTAACTCAGGACCAAATATAAAAATGCATTTCTGCATTACCAACTGAATGCATGAAGGTTCCTGAGGCAGCGCATAGTCTGTGTTGTAACTTCATGGCTTTGTTCTGTAGGAGCGCTAATGTACAGTTGAACAGGTTTGCAGATATAGCTTTAGGCTAAACATACCTCACCAACCCATTAATCTTGCTCTGTAGTACAACCCTCAGAGTATTTAAAGACACCAGATCACACGGGGAATTGGACAACGTGTTTACATGCACTGTCTTACGCTGGTTATTGTAAATACTATAAATGTTAGAGCTGTGCAGAACTGTTCTCACTCCAACGCTCAACAACTTCTTGCACTTCAAAACCTTTCTGAAGTTTTAACTTTGCATGCCAGATCTCTCTGTGATTCACACACATGCAAATGCAGACACAGTCATATAAGATGCTGCTCAATGACACACAAAAAGTGCTGATCATTCATGCAGCTACATCTACTACCGAGAGTGGATTTTACTTTCATAGATGTCCACAAACTCTTAGTGTGCTAGCTTGTCATGGCAGAAAAACTGTGCAACAATCATTCTCGTTAGACATTTGAGTGTTGCCTTTAATCTACAGTGCACGTCATACCAAATACCTGGCTAGCTCTTTTGGCTCTGCTGTTGTCTTTACGTTCAGAGGCCATTAGGTTCCAAATGGAAGCATCCTTCCTTAGCTGCTCCTCTGGCAAGTAGGAGTCACTCTATTGATGTGGATAAAGTAAGCTCTTTGATCACTTTCCTTTTGGCTGAGCTGATGGTATTCTCAAGTGTTATGGCAGTGTTATTCAAGCAAAGTTAAACTTTATGAAGCTCTTTAATGGACCATTAATGATCAATCCATTTACATGGCTCATGTGATGTGAAGCCGAAAGCAACTTCTGTGTGGAATTATGCACTGTGATACAAGTTGTCAGACCTAAGAGACACTTAGTGGCTTCTTTTTGTTGTAAACTGCATAGACTGTTAAAAAAAAAACAAAAAAAAAACACCATGCTTCTTCTAATAAACAATTCAGTCCACATCAAGAAATGATTACAGACACATACCACAATGTATATCCATAATGTATGGACATGCATTACATATTAAATACAATGTATGCAAATCAGTAAGTTCCAAACTCCATATGAAAAGTTACCTAAAACACACCATATAGAGTCACAACATGACAACCACAACTATACCTGGTCTGCTCGTTTCCCGCGAGCAAAGACAGAGTCTTTCTATAGAGGGTGCAGGCAGAGGCAAACACAAAAAATGAGCAGCTACATTACGTAAGTGGTCCATCAAATTTATGCAAATTATTTTACCCTAATGAGTGGCACACAGATTCAAAAGATGAAACCAATGTAGTGGTAAAGGCAAAGGAGTTGCACACAGATTAGAATAGCCGTCTGCACAAGTTTGCATGAAAAGAAGAATTGGCTTGAGTTTTGCATTAGGAAAAAGCAGCAAAATGAGGAGAGCAACAGAATAAGAGTGGTCTACAAGTTTCTGATGTGTGCTGCTCAGCCCCCTGATACACAGCACTGAGGAGTTCTTGGCTTTTCCCACTGATTTCCCTAGAGTGTGCTCTTTTTTGATACTGACCTTGTCTCCCTGGTAAACCCCTGGAAGCTGCCAGTAGTGAGGCTCCTGTCCCAGGTAGTCAAAGTTGCTGTAGGACAGCTGAGTTCCTTCAGTAGAAACTTCCACAGTGAAACCAGTGGAAATGCGATTGGTGCGTTGACGGTTCACCAGAGCGAATCCCTGAAAGTTCCCTGGAGAGAAGACTGAGGACACCTGCAGGACCACATGGAAAAATACAATCAAGCTCAAGTAAACAATGCAGCAAGAAATTTACAACAACTTGCAAGAATTTTAAGAAGCAAGTGCCCACTAGATTTCCTGAATCAGCATCAGAGCTGATCAGGACACTTTTTGCCTGATCAAATCAGAAAAAACCTTTGTTTGTCCACTGTCACATGGGTGTTGTAAAGAGAAAGCACAATTTGTGGCAAAAAGCTAAAGATGCAAATTTTGAATAGTTTTCTAAATCTGTGATATATTGCTGGTTAGTCGTAAACAAAGGAGCTCTGGCTGGAGGCTGTTAGGTAGTGCAGAAGTCTTTGTCATGGTGGCCTGTTGCCAGGTAACCCCCCCAATGCTTTCTGCTTGCCAACACAGAACTGCCTGTAGTTTGAGTGACTGCCTCCTTGGGTCACTACAGCACCAGACAGTAGCACAACCTGATACTACAGCTAATGTATCATATATTTTCTGACTTGCATGTAGGGAATACAGGTTCTCGCTGTTGTTTGAAGTTTGTGAAACCACAGTACACGCTACCCTCTCAACACTACATTTCAGACAGTGGCCAGAAAGCTTAAAAAACATATATATTATTAGTTGCCTGTGTTAGGCAAAATTAAGTCTCTATATGGCTTCACAGACTTCACATTTCCTACGGTTTTGCTCTGGTGTAAGTCCAAAGTTATTCTTCCTGCATGTAACTAAGGAGATACCAGTCTCACGAGCTTAATGCAACCTAAGCCTGATGTGATGAAGGAAAAGTTTGACTTCCTTGAGCTTAAATCATACATTTTTTTCCTCTGAAGTAAATGTGTACCACTTACGACACAGCTGCTTTATCCAGTGCAACTGTACATTTGTTTTGGTTGTTTGGAGATTTAAATGAGCTGTTCTTGAAGCATGAACCTTTGCACCGTTGTGTAATTGTACCATTTAAAAGCCTTACCAGGTCTCTATACTGGGTAGAGCTGGAGCACTGCTGAGTGACACCCATACAGAAACAGGACAGGCAGCCATCTTTGTTATCCTGGCTGAGATGGAAAGTTCCAGGCTTACAGCTCGAGCAAGATGAGCCTTCAACGTTCATCTGCAACATACCATCAGCAGAATAAGATACAAGCAATCAGTTCATGCTGAGATACCCAAAAGGTGAAAACTATCAGGGAGTTAGTGTAAATCAAACGTCTTTGTTTGATCACCTTGCACTGGCACACACCACCGTTGCAGCTTTCATGTCCTCTTTGGTCACAGTTATAGCAGTTACCTGTAACAAAGCAGTGTATGGTTACAGTATGTACCAGCTCTCTGTTAAAAGGCATAAGTTTAACTGTGATTATTGAAATGAAGGGAATCTTTGCAACCTCGGTCGGGGTAAAGAACAAACCACTAGATGGAAAAATACCAGTAATTTTCTTGGATCAAATTCAGAATTTACCATTGAGTTCATTTCCAACGCTACATCTCTGCCCAAGCAATGGGTTGCCAGTGTATCCTGCCGCACATCTGAAATAAAAATAGACAATGTCTTACAGTAAATATTTCCAGGAAAAAAGGACAGAAGCTTTCACTCTAAGAACAATAAGGCAGGAAGCTGGGAAGTCTGCAAGTAGAGACAAATTTGATGATTTGTTTCCTTTATGGAGTCATCTTGACCCAAAGCAGACCTTTACTTAAAAACAAAGGGCTGAGTGACTCAGACAACTACTCTGTTATTCCACCCAGTATGTATACATATCTACACCGAGCATTCAACATATATCCACGTGACCTGACACCCAGCTTTTGTATATATTCTGACAGCTTTTTCAGAGGAAAACAAAACAAAACAAACACGAAGCAGTGCTTGCACTGGAGATGGATGAAGCACAGCCCCTGCTAAAGTATTCAACATGTCTCAGATGTTGATTCCATCTCTCATATAAGTATTGTATAGCTGAAACTGAGAAACTTTTTTACAGCAACAGATACAGAAAATCAGAAAAAAACATCACCAGAATTCAAAAAACTAAAAAGATGTAATAATACACAACTAATATAAGAACAAACAAAGCAGAGGTAAGCACCAGCACTGATGTGATGAGCTGCAAAAGAAAATTCTAGTGAGGAAGAAAAATATTTGTGACACTGTGACATAGCAAAGCAATGCACCATTAACCCAAGCACACAATACCACTGCCACCAGAGAAAAAGCTAATCCAACCCCAAATCTGTGCAGGCAGCGCTGAGGACAGCTGCTGTCAATCTTACCTCACCTGTCCTCTGCCAGGTCCGCAGGTCAAACGCCAACAAAGAGGACTTCCATGTTATGAACTTGCTTTGGGAAACCCTATTCAAACTATCTTTTGTGATGTACAGCAGTTTTTAAGGTGTGTAGTTAACTCAGTCCTTCCAGTTGGTGTTGTTTTATGACAATAAAGATAATTCATAGAAAACTACAAAATACATAGAATCTGATAAGGTCATATGAAAATGATAAAAGTGTCATAACTAAAGTCTATTAGAAAAGAACAAACTCATAATAGGCATAACATTAGAAACAGTCTGGTCTTACATGACATTTAAAAAATCACAAACATTATAAACATGCATTTCTTCTAAAACTAACATAGATGTGATGATATTAACTCTGCTGCTAGAAATACTGGGTGGTCAGTCTGTCCATGTGCCCTAAGTTTTGGATTGTTCCAAAAATATCAACTGTTTCTCCATTCATCTTTCATGAACTTAGTGTTAATGTGATCAATGGGTCAAAATATGAATGCTACATGAAGTTGGGAAATGTCATGTTCCACAGAGGATGATCCCACTTCACTTTGGCCACACCTTGAGCCCTCTGGTAGCATAACACCTGTGTCTAATGATTACCTCTATTCATTACATTTCCAACACAAAGTGCTGGCTTCACATGAAATCTAATGTTTGTGGTGAACCCCTGACCTTTTGTCTATAGTCACCATCAATTCAAAATGTGTACTTTTCACCAGCATCGCTTATAATCTAAGTGACAGAAGACAATGTAGTTTACTGAGTAAATTCACACTCCCAAGAGGATTGTTCCATCAAAACAAAAGAGCATCTTTTATTTTTTGATGCAGATGCACTCCTCTACAAAATCACCCAAATCATTGTAGAATAACACATTTTTCAGAAATTCAAGTCATCTGGTGAAAATTCCTGTCTATTTTCAAATTGCAATATATATCACAGAAAAGCAAAATATTGCAATGTCATATTTTTCCAATATCATGCAGCCGTAGCTGGTGAAATGCTTACCATCTTCACTAGTTTTGTGTGTTAGCAAGTTAATATGTTAATAAGAACTGATCAGCAAGTCTTTAGTTTTCAAGCATTAGAGACACTGACATTTTGATGTGATGATGGTTCTATTTGAAACGTCAGGGGATCATGAAAGTTATGCTGAGGGTAATGTGGAGTACCTCCATCAAATGTCACAACAATCTATCCAATAGATGTGGAAACATTTTATTTAAAACCATAACCTCTGGTTCTGCTACGGAATAAGTCAGAGGATCACCAGTGTCAATGGACTCCATCCTCCAGGGACCATGAATGTGTATATAGAATTTCATGGCAATGCTTCCAGTAGTGATCACGGTATTTCAGTCTGGGCCAAAGCAGTGAAGCAAAAGACATCCGTAGAGCTATTTCGCTAGAATGGCTAAAAATGTTCATTTCAACCCCATTGCTTTTAAAGCTCCATGTATAACAAAATAAGTAAGCAGTTATTTTCACACACTTTCATATGACCGGTTGTACTTAACATTTCAGCTGGTTGGAGGACTAGCAGGGTGTCAGATTGTTACATACTAATATTCGTAAAAAGATTTTAAAAAATAAAATAAATTTTTTTTAAAAAGTAAAAACACCCAGATTTAGATTGAATGTTACCACTAGCATTCCAAGAAAACCTTGCATCTCCAGTTAGGACCTTTGTACTGAAAGGTGAAACCACCTTCAACACCTAGAACAAGCTCAGTCATATTAATGAATAAATTATTCAGCATTAAACATTTGTTGATACTTTGCATAAAAATCACAAAGGTGACATGGAGGTGTAAGGCTTTTCCAGGACACCAGCTCCAACTGTACCATTTTAAACCCTAACAGTAGATATGTAAATGCATCAAACAGGCATGATGCACATGCGATTTTCAAAATGATAAAAAAAAGCATTTGGTGTCAAATCTGAGGTAGTCTGACCATCACAAAATGGACAAATGCATAAACATGAGAGGTACTAATGCTAAGCTATCTCTTCATAGCAAGATATTGTGCAATAGTTCTGATAATAGCCATGAGCATCAAAATGCACATCAGCAAGACAATAAACATCTGGAAATTCCCTCTAACGAACACAGTAAAATCAGTCCCTTCATTAAGTTCCATTGATGTGGTTGTAGCAACAGATATAAATACCAAAGGACCAGGACCAAAGCCTGCAAATATAAACAGTTTGGAATATAATAATAAAATAATGAAACACTATTCCCTAGTCATCAGGGATGATTTTGATAGGAATGGCCAGCTTTCCCAAGACGACATGGAGAGAACCCTCCTGAGACTTTTTCTGCCTCGCAGACTTATAATCTCCATTTAAGAGCCTCAGCAGGTCCAAAACACCAGACTGAGGGTTTGTTTTCTTTTTATGCTGCACTTTTTTTGTTGTTTTCTTCACAGTAGTAGCCTTGGTTTTATGGGGAGTTGATGTCCTTCTCACTGCTGTGTTAGACTTCTTTGCAGTAGCAGCCTTGATTTTAGCAGGAGTTGTCCTTTTTACTGTTGTTTTCTGCTTCTTAGCAGCAGTTGTCTTCGTAGGTTTTGTGGTTGTGACTGTATCCTTAACAGAATTTTTTGTTTTCTGAGTGGACAACTTCTGTGAGTTGCGTTCAGTCTTTTTCTCATTTTGGTCAGAGTTACTCTTGTGTGGCTTTGACAATTTCTTTGAATTCCCATCAGAAGACTTCACACCCTCCTGAGCTTTCTTTGGAACAGGTGCATCTGATCTAAATGCCTTGTTACGTCTGTTGTTTATGACAAGTGGTGCAGAGGTCTTTTTATTGGCCTGGTCAGATTGTTTATGCAGCTGAGGGGTTCTAGCAGGCTTTGATTTGTGAGATGGAGGCTCCAGTTGAAATTTAGGGATTGTTGCCTCTTCTTTATCTTCCTTTGGTTTTGTTTGCCTTGGCTGTGAAATACGTTTAGCTGTCACAGCGGACCTCCTACCCCCTGGCTTTTTTGTTTCAGGTTTCACTGTAGTTTGAGTTGCAGACTTTGAAACAGTCCTCGGTTTACTCAGGGTGGTCTTTGACTTGACTGTTGAGCTAGTTGAGACTTGACTTCTAGATGACCTGGTGACTGGTTGGAGTTTTGCAGTGTTTTTAACTGGTTTAGTAGTGGCTGCTGACTTGAGTTTTCTATTCTTCTGAGGAGCAGAGGTGGGTTTGTTTGGGAGGAAACCTGGTGTTGGGATGCTCCTGGGCACTGTGGCTCTACTGGTGAGTGGTGTTTTAGTGGGTGTATTTCTGTCCAGAGGTTGAGGTGTTGAGTACAACGGGACAACAAGGACTGTGGCAATTGAAGGTAGACCCTTTCTTTCTTGGGGCGAGCGCAAGGTGTGTCTTGTACGTTTCATTTTGTTCATCTCCTGAGCCAGGGCCGTGAAGCCATCAATAAGGATCTCCAGCCGACCCTCCAGTCTGCTCAGACGGGTCTCCATGTCTGTGTAGCTCTTCTCTAGCTCACCGACCTTCTTGTTCTTCTCTCCAGCCGACTGAATGGCGATGAGCTCCTTCAGCTGGGAGGCAAGCTGTCTCTGCTGATTCTCCATACTATGAATGCTCTCCTTCATATCAAGTGTGTTGCTTTCAAGCATGCTCAGGCGTTGGTTAAAGGTGTTCAGGTGAAACCGGAGCAGCTGCTGGAAGCTGGCATCTCTGCTCTCCGGGCTGGGTGTGAAGCGTGGTGGGAGTCTGGACACTGACTTGTTGGGGGTGACTGAAACAACGTTTTCTCCGGTTGCTTTAGTGGACTGGGAAATGTAATGGCGGGATGCAGTAGATAGCAAAGACCTAGTAGGGATGACAGTTGTTCCTAATGTGGTGGGCCACGGGTAATCAATACCATCATCATCATCATCATCATCTCCACTGCCGGAGGGCGTTATCTCTTTCTCCCAGCTGAAATTGAATACTGCTTCAGCTCCGCATCCCACAGGCAGGTAGCCCTCAAAGTCCTTGTCCAGGAAGGGGTCCCCACAACTGTCTGAAGATGGCTTCTCTTCTCTTAATATCAAAACAGCAAAATCAGGCATGATGCAGGCAGAGACTTCATATCAGCATAAATGACTTACAAGTTGTGGTTTATCCCCAAGTCACCTTGTCATCTTTGCCCTCGGAGTTGCAAAGATTCATCAGCCAGACAGTAGTCCTCATAAATGCCACATCTACATTTATGACCCAGAATATACATTTGGTCTGTGCACGGACAGAAATCAAACGAGCCAACACCTTAAAATGCTACTAGCAAAGCGCAAAGCTGAAGCAGAAAGCAACCTTTGAAAAACAGGCTTTTAGAAGTAAAGCAAAGAACATAAGAAAGCAAAAGTAAGATATGAAGCCAAACTAAAGGCTTCCCCGGGACATACTGTTATTTCCCCTTTGGAGAATTTCTTTTCCACAAACAATAAAATCTGAGCAATGACATTCTCAATACCACCAAAGGCCCCTAATCCAACAACAAAGACCCATTATTCTGCCACAGCAGAGATAACTGTTCATTTTGTAAAACAATATATCCACAAAAACAACCCTACCCACCAGCAGATCTGGAAAATATAAAACTTCACAGGTACATTAGAGATTGGGTGGCACCGATTTGCATCTCCCATCCCTCCTCTGACAACAATTACAACTGCAGTGAAAAAAAACAAGAGAGATGCGAACCACAGACATGCTTATATCCCTTTCCTGTGAACGAAACCACTGGGTGCCACTGCCAGCCCCTGCTAACCTTGCTGCTGGCCAGCCAGGTATCCCCAAACATTGAGCAGTGTCCAGATGGCTCTGAGAGGAAGACAGAAAGGAAAAGGAAAAGGAAAAAAAGAAGGAGAGTGGTGTACCTTTCACAGCGTCGGCCAGTGAATCCAGGAGGACAGTTGTCACAGGTCGGCTGACCATCAGAGTCCAGATGACAGGTTGAGGAGAATCTGTACAGAAGAAAGATCACACAGAGTTTGAGGATGCTTCTGCATTGCACACAGTTTACTTTTTTTACCTTATATATAAAACAAAAACAGACCAATAAACTAAATTTTAACTAAAATGCATTGACTCAATAAAAAGTTAAAATGAAAAGATTTTTAGACATAAACTTACTGGTTGCTGGAAGTGGCTCCAGGACAGGGGCAGGGCTGACAGGCCTGAGCACCACCCGTTAAAGGGTTACCATAGAAACCAGTCTGACAGCGCTCACATCTTGGTCCAGCAGTGTTATGGAGACATTGCTTTAAGGCAGGAAAAAAAAAAAAGAGTATGTGAGATCCACGGAACAGTTGAATATACAGTGCTCACGTTTACATGTTGGGATTTGCCAAGAACCATTCCACATTCCACTGCAGAGATCAAAGTAGAGTCCTTATTGACAAAGGACTGAGAGAGAGGAAGAGGAGCACAGAACCTACCAGACACCTGCCGCTCTCTGGTTCACAGCCGCTGGCATGACCGTTGCAGTCGCACCTCTCACAAGTGCCCAGGTAAAGGCCAGAGCTGGTCCGAGTGTAACCCTCATCACATTCCTGCAAGAGCAAGGAAAAACACCTCAGGTAAGAGACAAGTGATGACAAAGACAAATACGTCTTTGTTCCACTGCAGCAGGGAGACAGACTGCAATTATCACAAAGGAGTGTAATGGAAAAAAAGAGACTTTATCTTTAACAAGCTTAGACATATCACTTGTTCCTCACTTGCGCTCCTTTTTTAAACTAAACTCACGCAGAAATGAAAGATCTTTATTTAAATTGGAAATAGTAGCTTAACAAAAACAATCAGAGTTTTTAGATTTCACAGACTTCATTCGTGTATGGAGTTTGAATAGTTGTCTTGGAGATGAAAAACTCTATCGGCTGAAAAATGAAAAAGTGAATTTTGCAAATCCATTAATCGCTTTAGTCAATTAAAAAAATAAAAATTAAATAAAACAAAAATCCAAATACTCTTGAGTTCCAGCTCCCCTAATTTGAAGATTTGCTGCTCTACTATATACTGTTTCTCATTGGGTTTTGGACTATGGAAGGATAAATAGGACATCTGAAGTTGTCCCCGTCAGGGTTGTACAATTGATAGCACATGAGTCATGATACTAAGAGTTTTAGTAGAAAGCAACTTTTATGTTATTGAAGATGTTTTCAAGAACCTAAAAGAGAAGTCCAGTTGCTTTTTATTTAAACTCTTTGGATTACAATGACCTAGAATACTGAGAATCTACACAGTCAATTGCAATTTGGATTTATTAGATGACGATGATCGACTGTGATGTTGACGTTTAAAATACATACTCTGCTCATAGTAAACAGCACATGTAGATAAAACTACCTGGCTTATACTTGGGTAAATCTTACATGAAAACATTTTATTTTACTCACATAATTATTTAAACCTTTTTCCGCTGCTGAGAAGGGAGACTAGAGGCTTCTGTAGGTTTAGCCGCCTAGCTAGCATCTATTATAACCTGCATCTGGGGCACTTCGGACACATCTGTAAACTGTAATGTCTATCATTGAACAGATGTTTAGCCGGTGGGTCCAATGAATTTAGAATTCACTGAATTTAGGTGAAGAGGAACTTTTTTGATGCAAATATGAGTACAATAAGAGGAATGTAACACAACATGGAGGTGAAAGCAGTGTCTGTTATGATGAAATATTAGGTCCTTGAAATCAATGAATAATATATAACTGTGGTCTGGATGGTGATGCAATAATCTAAATATTGAATTGAATTATTAGTTTCAGCTAAAGTTTTTTGTTGAAATAAACTCATTTAAACAATTTTTAAAAAATCTGCACATGTACCTGGCACGATGGTCCTCTGTAGCCCTGAGGGCAGGCACACTCTTCCACCTCCAGAGCACGATCGTTCCCAGTTGAGTGAGGAACAGCAATGTCCATCTTGATATCTGAGATACTATTTCACACAACAAAGACACATTAAAAAATACATATATTCATAACATTTGTCTTAAGTGTTGGTTTCATTTTGAGTTATTAAGAGGAACCGTCCACCACACCTGCTCTCAACAATGTTGTCTGCATAGGTGGCCCTGATCATGAAGACTGTAATGTCAGCCAGAGTCATCAGCAGGTGTTCACGAGTGCACGGCTGCCCATCAGCGCGACGCCATGCAGACTGTCGGCCAGAGATAAATGAAATGTTAGTCTGGTAACATCGTCGGGGGATACAGGTTCAGCCAAAAGACACAACAATGAGACACACCTCTCTGAAGGTCACAGTGACAGTTTGTGGGGCTCGTGGGAGAGGTTTAGTCTGGGAGTAGTGTTCCAGGAAGATGCCATTGCCTTGGAGGACCACATCCGGCTGACCGTCAATCACCAGTGAGCGCTGGTACGGTTCGAATCGCACTGTGTAGCGAAGCTCCCCTCCATACGCCGTCACCTGGTAGCAACATGGTGAAAGGACACGCTCATCTTAACAAAACTGAATAGTGGAAAGGTATTTCACCCCTATGATACTGTGGGGGGGAGTCACAAGACACCATGTTGGGTTTGACTGTGAATTCAAGCCAAAGGTTCAAAAGAGGTTCATGGTGTGGATAAGCGCAGCCTTTTCACTTAACAACATGTTGAGGCTTGACTGAGTGGGACAGAGAGGGCAGACAAATCTAGTTCAGCTGACACTTTTTTTTTTTTTTTTTGCTTCCACCTCACCTCCAGCCTGCTTTCTACTTTGTTATTTTTCTCTCACCTTATCTCCTCTGAAGCTCTGAGGCAGGACCCAGTAGTAGATGTCGTTGGGGACACTTGAGAAGGAGCGGTAGACAACTTCAGAGGAGCCCCTCTGGGTGATGCCTTCAGAGATAGTCTTAGTGTTGGCGGAGTTGGAGAGGGAGAAGAGCTGCCCGTTCACTCCTCCTCGCACCTGTGAGACACAAACAGTATACCTGACTGAGATCTGAACTGAGATTTACATGTGCTTCAGCAAACTGCATCTCAACATCTATCGCCGGAAAGGATTTGCTGATACAGCACGAGTGAACAAACACTGAGTCAAACCTTGATACCAAAAATATTCCGCCCTGCCTTTGCCATTCATAGCTCTGCACCCCACCTGTTCTCTGTTCCAAGTGGAGCTGGCGCACTGTTTGGTGACGCCCATGCAGAAACAACGCAGGCAGCCTTCAGGGTTGGTCTCTGATAGGTGGAAGAACCCAGGCTTACACTCGTCGCACAAAGCGCCTGCCACGTTGTTCTGCAACACACAAATAGAAACAAACACATGCACATATGTAATCCATCTGCCTGTCAAGCCCTTTATTCTGTAAAGAGAATGGCAGCGGAGTATACAGGATAGTAAGACACGTCAGCTTAATAAATCACAACTGTAAACTGCAGATGTACAACAACTGATGCTTCAACATTGCATCCATACCTTGCAGCTGCACGGCCGGCTGCTGGAGCTGACAGTTCCTCTGTTATCACATTTTGAGTTTTCTGCAAAGAAGACAGCAGTGGAAAGAAGATGGCATATGGTTAGAAAAGTACACCTGGGAGTGTTCCAGTCACTCTGCATACCTGAGCCATGACCACATACTACAGCCTACTGTAACACCAGGGGAAAACCTGATGGTAATCATTACACAGGGTTAAGACCTCCTCATGGACTTATCGCTGGAAGACGGAAAGGTAAATCAATTCTCATGCAGCTTCTGTCAATTTCAGGCCTGTAACTGAGAATTTCAAAAATGTTAGTGCAATTGCTGAAAATGTACTCACGGTTAGGAACGCATTTTCCATTGGGCAGAAGGGGGTTACCCTGGTAGCCAGGAGCACACCTGAAAAAAGACAAAAAACAAGAGTTAAGATCAACATATGCAATGCAAGCATTTATTAAAGCTGATCAGTCTGCAATTAATATTTTTTCTTCTTCCTATTCTACGTTGAGTCATTCACATTTGGTATATTTATAGTCATAATACAATAACCATCTAATACTGTATCGCATAAAGATATGATTCATTGCTACCACAAGTCCCAACAGATTCATAAAATTTCCTGTAAAAGCATATTGCTACAATCTCCAAAGATCGTACGGATACAAGGTACAGTTAATGATATCAGTTTCCTCACTTTTCACAGCGTCTTCCTGTGTAGCCGGGCTTGCAGGCATCACACGTTGGCTGTTGGTCAATGTTGAGGAAGCAGGTGTCGGAGAACCTGTAAAGCCGAACAAAAGAGCCATAAATTAAAATTTAGCAGCAGTTGGTTAATGAGTTGTAGGCTGAATGAATGAATGAGTACCCAACTATATGAATGAGCTCAGCTTTTAGGGATAAAACACTGAAGAGCAAAGCAGCTCAGTCTTGTTGCCAGTGACGCTTTGTTTGCAGAGTGTGGGTGTACACATCTGTAAATGTATCCTGTTTGTACTGTAGTTTCTGCACGTGTGTGGTCTGGGTGAGTCTGTGACCTTACCGCCGTGAGGTCTCAGAGTAAGGGCAGGGGCAGGGCTTGCAGTCATCGGGGCGACCTCGGCTCGGGTCACCAAAGTAGCCAGGGCGACACTTGTCGCACTGAGGGCCCTCTGTGTTGTGCTGGCAGCTCTGTGGTAGAGAGAACACACTGGTCATTCTCTCACCCAGATGACACTTAAAGTGGCCTAAAATTAATCATTTGACATTTTTGGGAAGTTGCGCTCTTACTGGGAATTTGATTATAAGAGCAGCTCGCTTAGCGTGTCATAAAGATGAGAAACAGAGGGGAAACAGCTAGCTTTTAAAAATATCCACCTACCAGCTCCTCTAAACACATCACATTATTGCTTGTTGCCAGCACATAACTCCCCACAAAAACACAACTTGTGACTTTTACATTTGTGTTTAGTATTCTTAAAACAAACAAGATGTCAAGTGTTAACTGGTGAGCTTTTAAGGTCCCATATTGTGCACTTTTTTTTAGCAAATTAATAGAAGTCTCACAGAAAGTGTCTTTCAATTTCTCAGCTCAAAATACTTCAAAGAAAGTTAATTTCACCATGATCCCTGACTTGATACTGTTTTAACTGGCTGTTTCAGTGTCTGTAGCTTTAAATGCAGCTGCAGTGCTGCAGGCCTCTTGAGGAAGAAGACTCTCTCTGTCTGTGATTGACAGCAATTGACTGCACAGCAGCTGACGCAAATATGAATGCATGTACCAGGACTTTCTATTGCATTAAGCAAGTTTCCGTCTGAACAATCACTTTACATAGAAAACAACCCAGTTAATGTTCTAGCTCATATATCTGGTTTTGTCAGACAACATTGGGGTTATAAGTGGTGTTTCAGCAGTGCAGAGTAGCAGGTGCTGGTTAACAGGCAGTCCTAATTGGCAGCATTTCAGACTGTATTTTATACTTGTTTTGTTGCATAAGCCTAAAAATATGCAAATGAGAAGAGGTTTATAAGGAATCTGGCTCGATTACAATGCAGCATATGTGAGCATAGAAAGGAGGAGAGAAGCCAACATATGGAATCTTTGGCTGAGCTCGGCTCAGCAGGAAACAAGAAAACAGAGTCTTCCCATGTGTTTATTATTGGTTTCAAATTTGTTTTAAAGTTTCCCCCATTTCTCAACCTTCTCAGCGCTACCCTGTGTGCATATGATCAAAGTTAATGTTAGCCACATTCTCCTATTGTTGTGGGGACATCGCCAATAAAAAATAAAAGTAATCCATTGGATCTTCCGTTCCTTAAATGCTGGAAGGGCATGAAGACTTTTGTGTTCCCTCCTGTGACCAACAGCAGATCTTTTCTTGTACTTCACTCGTGTCTGAGACATTTTGGAGCGAGCAGAAACAGCTCCAGAGAGTAAATAAACCTGCTGGACTGAGAGGCAGCTGCTCTTTCTGAATGGATCGCCTAGAAGAATCAGGCAGTGAGGAGGCAGGAATATACAAGGTTTATGAGCTGAGTGAAAATCTTACTGGCTTGTGAAGGGACTGTCTAGTTGTGGGAGAGCTTCAAAAATGACAGCTTTTACTTTACACACAAAACACATGAAAAATAGCTTTTCACCATATTGGACCTTGAGAGCAGCTGGTGGGCCCTAGCTTCATATTTAGTGTATATTTTATACACAGACACTAAATATGTTCACCCTCTCCATTAAAAAAGTGAATAAGCATATTTCCTTTATGCAGACCAACATCTATTATTCAATTTTACATGAAAGAAATCTCATAGCATTGCTAATCAAGTGTTAGCTTTTACCAGACAGTGTCCACTGATTGGGTCACAGGCCGTGGCATGTCCGTTGCAGTTACAACCAGCACAGGTGCCAAGATAGGAGCCACCAGGGACCCGCTCGAATCCAGAGGAGCACATCTCACAAGAGAGACCCGTATAGCCAGGAGGACATCTGGGAATAATAAATATCATCAAACACGGCATCAGTCCAGCTGTTTCAAGAGCAAACTATGAAGAGGCAAATTACAACATCACAAACCGTAAATTTTCTAAATCTAGTAAATAAAAAACAGCTGACTGAAGAACAGCTGAAAAGCATTTTTCATTTTTGTTCTTGTCTCTTTTTTTGGCAGGGGCATGGGTTCCAAAAGGCTCATCAAAATAGATTTCGTAAATATTTCATGACAAAAACTTCAGAATCACTTCTTGTAGTAAATGAATTCATCGATTACTTAATAATTGTGCAGCAGTCTTCATTCTAAGCACTGACACATGAGACACGCCTCCTTACAGTACAAAGTGGCGTTTTTTTACTTGACTCTTTCTTCTTACCTGCACTCCTCGACATCCTTGGCGTGACCCAGAGTGCTGAACTCCACAGTGGTGGTATCCATGACGATATCACTGAGCGCCACGCTGACCATGTGGTTGTCGTAGATGGTGCGGATGCTGATGCTGTCCAGGTTGGCCAAAGTCATCATCAGCTCGTCCCGGCTCACAGGACGACCGTTAGAGTGCTGCCAGTTGTCCTAAAAGATTAACAAACAGGTTTACTGACACACTGTATGTGCTTACAGGTAAATTATGCTATTATATTTTATGATACATTATGATGGACTATGAATAACTCTTGCATGGTTTTTAATAACTCCAGTGTAGTTCATAGGTATCATTTAGTCTAAAATTTGTTATTGGGGATTTAATAATAAACTTTATTTCTATAGCACCTTTTAAAACTGAAGTCTAAAGATGCTTTAGAAAACATGTAAACAGTGTAATTAGCTAAAGCATTATCAAAGGCAATATATTTCTAAAAAGAGCAATAATAAAGGATTAGAAAACACATAAAATATAAAAAGCCTGTCTGTATAGATGGCTTTTAAATTGCCAGTAGCTTGTTGGAGAGTTTCAAGCCCAAACAGCAAAAACGGTTTCCCTTTGTTTTAAGCCTGGGCTGTGTAGCTTTTGACAGCAGCTGATTGTCTCATCTGAAGGATCGGGGTGCAGAATGAGGGGTCAAAAGTTTCCAGATGTAGAGTGGAGCCTGATCATGTCGGGATTTAAAAGTAATCAAGACAACCTCAAATAGAATTCTGTAGCAATGGGGAGCCCATGTAATGCAGCTAGGACTGGAGTTGTGTGTTTCCAGCATCGAGTGTTTGTGAGCAGTCATGCTGCAGAGTTTTAAATCAACTGTAAATAGGCAATTGCTGCATTGTTAAGGTAAGCGAATAGTGGGTTGCACTTGTCCAGGGATAAGATGTTTAGCCTAGTTTTTGGAGAGCACTGTTTTGACCTTGGTGTTATGTATAATTTGTTGTTTGGCTGTGAGCAGAAATAATTCCCAAGTTTCTGGCTGAGTGCCTCATGTTCATTGTTAGTGGTTCAAGGTGGGGAGGGACACTTCTAGAAATATGTTTGGGGCCAGTAACCAATAAAATATTTTAGTATTAAAAGAAGTACAAATTATAATCACAAACTTACAGGATTGTGCAGAATCTGCACTTGTTTATTGTAGAACAGTTTTTCTTAACCAGAGGCTTACTTCAATGAATTTGATCTCTTTCTGGTTGACCACATTGGGAGGGGTGCCGCTGCCTCTGCGGTACACAAGCCTGCGTCCGTTTCCAACCAGCATCACATTAGGTTTCTCCACAGGCTCAGACAGACCGCGGGCCAGTGTGTACCGCACCTTGAACTTCAGGGATCCTCCATAGGAATCAATCTAAAAATAAATACATATGATTTTCACGCATACGTGTGATCCCAAGGGAATTAACATGAAGACTGCGAATTATTTTCTCTGTTACTTTGTTGCCCAGGAACTGGCGAGGCAAAGTCCAGAAGGAGTCGAGGTTGAGGAAACGGCGCGAGAGGTCGACAAGCTGGAATTCTTCCATCTCAGGGTTAATAAGGAGCTGCGTGGAGGAGAGAGGAGGAGTGCCTGGCCTGGAGGGGTATGTGACATTCACTCCTGGAAGACAGAATAACACATTCACTCCATTTTGTCTCTAAATGTTAGGACTACAAAAACGCTTTAAGCCGAGTTGGCTGTCTATCAGCTTCGCATGTATAAATAGCTTGAGTGCCTTTGAAGTCTTCCTCCTCAGTGAAACGCAGGCTGATCTGGTTGCGGTAGCGTCCAGTGCTCTTGCAGTTTTTGGTGATTCCAGCACAGAAGCAGGACACACAGCGGCCACTCACACTGAAGTGGCCATCAGGACAGTTGCCTGCAGAGAATATGAAAACAAGCAGGGCATAAGTTGATTCATACTCGAACTGTAACTAGAATTAATTTATGGTTTGTTGCTGTCACTCTGACTGTGTGGACGAGACAAGTGCCAGTACCCGAATTTGGATTTGACGTGAGGGTTAACACTCCATCAGGGATGCCGAACACCAGGCCTTTAGCATTGATGGCCTCGCAGGTGTACGCCCCCTGATCCGCCTCCTTCACATCGCGAATGGTGAGGGTGCCACGGCCGTTCTCGTTGGTCATGGAGATCCTGGGAACACAGAAATAAAGCGCAGTCTGAGACAATATTGTTACACAGAAATCCATAAAATTCAGCTGCAATTGCTGAACCACACACACACACACACGCAGCAGACTACGCCCCGAATGAAGTCGGAGTGAACCACAAATATCTCGCTAATTAAAATCACAGGTCTAAATGAAGTCAGCAACGAAACGCTGATCTAGGAAGGCTGTCGACAGTTACACTGCGGCCTCAAATACCACGGCAGATCAATTAGGAAGGGCTGGTTTTTACCGGATAAGGATGTTTTGTTTGAGACAGAACATCAATAAAATCTGTTCCAAACCTTATTCTAAATCATTTGGACAGTGTTTTCCATAAACTCTATATAATCTGATATGCAATCATAATGAGCTGATTTACTAATTTCGTTTTAATTACAGTCCTGATGAATAAAAATCACAGAGGTGGAGAACTTCTCATCAGACCCACCTGCTGCTGACTGGAATGTGTCCCCAGTTGAGTCTCCAGGTGATGATTGGGGTTGGAACTCCAACAGCTTGACAAGTAAACGTCACCGTGGCCCCCCGTGCTGCCTGAATGGACTCCTCTGGCGGGCTCGTTACAGAAGGAGGGGCTGTGAAGTGTCAGGAAGACGAAAACAGTTTTAATCACATAATAAATGCACATGTACAAAAAGGCTGGCATGTGACTGGAATTTGTCGATCCAGTGAAGCTCATAAATGCCTGAGAGTTGGAGGAAGCTAAATTCTCCGCTACGCCAGACAATTTCCTTTTAGTTCTCAGGAATGGATGGTTCACAAAAAGCTCTGTGTCTCAGTCAACACATGTGTGAAAAGAGCCTGGTTCACAGCAAATTAGTCACAGAATACAAAGGAGGGCATCTACGGAGGAGAGTCAAAGAAGCAAAGTGCAAGAAGTGAGAAAGAACAGAGTGAAATGTGAATGAGAGAGAGAGAAAAAAACAAGACTGTAAGAGCAGAGGGCTGCAGACAGCTGCTGGTGTGAGACTTACTGCAGCCGTACTCATCGGAGCGATCAGGGCAGTCTGGCTCTTCATCACACTGGTAACTAGCAGGGATGCAGGTGCGATCGCTCAGGCATTCAAACTGCTCAGGAGCACACCTGTCACCAGGACCCTTGGTGGCTGTAGGGATGACAAGACGGAGATTTACAGCAACTTTTAATAGCTTTTAAACAGCAGCTTCAAATTGGGGTCAGAAAGGCTTAAAACGACAGCTTAGCAATCACTAATGAATTAAACTGTAATCAATCATTTTTGAGTTGTGGGGAATATGCTTTCTGGCCAAGTGTTTACATAGGAGGACTGAGACTACTCCTGTTTGTATGTTGAACATGATGCTAAAGACAGGAATCAGTTATCTCAATTGAGCATAAAGGCTAAAACTGGGATTTAACCTTGACTGGATTTGTCAACCTCTGCTAATTAACACACACTTGCTTTATGCTAAGCTAACTGTCTCCTGGCTATAGCTTCAAATTGAAGAGACAGGCAAAGACACACTGATGTCTTTATGTAGCGTGAGCAAAAAAGGGAAGAGGTGCACTTCAAATACTGATCTGTTTCTTTAAATCCCCTCTCTGATCATTGATTGAACCCCTAAAAACTCATCTGTGTGCATCAAAATGACATATTTTCAAGCTTTTACATGAAAATAATCCCTTCCTGCCAAATAAAAGGATTTAGATGTAACTCTGCACTGTTGCTTCCTTGATCTCCACCCACCGTTCCCCACTTGACTCAGCTCGAGCACACCAGCTCACCTACAACTCTACTCAGACACTGTAAAACTACACCACTCTACATAAATGCAAGTTATAATGTTGGACTAATTCAGCCAAACATGTTTGAACTGAAAACCGATTTTTGAAAAGAATTATATAGAAAACCCCACCCTGCAAGTTGACAGGATTGGTTCCTTTTGTTTATCAGATACACAAAAGTCTGAGTCTGTGTTTATAACACTACAGTTTCAAAGTGGAACTGCTTAGCCATGGCAATGACTGCTTATTTCGCTCTGATATACCTTCTACTTTGTTAGAAAGAACACATGGACATGCATCAGAAAAGAAATGAGGTCTTACGGCAGTCTGTTTCATCTGAGTTATCCTCACAGTCATTGTCGCCATCGCAACGCCAAAGCTTGAGGGCACAGCGGCCATTTTTACACTTGAACTCATTGGGTTCACAGGGAGACGGAGTACCTGGACAAAGATAGAAGGATGATGAGGGCGTATGCTGCTTCCTGAGAGCGTGCACACAGACAAGGCTGTACTACTTACCACATCTGAACTCGTCGCTGCCGTCTGAACAGTCCCTCTCTCCATCACAGACATAGTCTCGAGGAATACACTCTCCACTCTGGCACGTGGCCTGATCAGCTCTGCATGGTCCAGGTGGGCTGGGGGGACGCGGTGGCTTCTTGATGGTGGTGGTTGTGGTGGCAGGTGTTGTAACGACTGTAACGACGGGCCTTTTTGTTTCTGAAAGAAATATTTTATTAAACCTAGCAAATGCGCAGTACTTAGAGCTGTTAGAGTGCTCCTAGAGCCGAATATATATCGCACATCAAGCAGTCGGAAATCCAGGCTTTACCAAGTTACAAGCTGCCAGCCAGTCAAACTGAAGCCACTCACCACAATTGGTCTCATCACTCATGTCTCTGCAGTCTGGTCTGTTGTCACACAGGTATTCCATCAGGATACATATCCCATCACCACACCTGTGCTCATCTGCCATGCAGGGTCTTATACTGGGGGTTACTGTGAGAGATGCAGAAGGGAAGCAGGGGGAGGGGAGGGGATGTTCAAGGATCAAAGACATGCAAGCCAAGACTACTGTACAGCCAATACACTACCCAAATGTCACATCACATCACGAATAACGCACAGTGAGGTGAAAAACCACCACATCCGGGGCCCCCGCTACGGTGAGAGCAATTCAGGCATGTAAGGACTGTTGCTAATGTAGTGCTTCAAGACGTTTCTAAGTTTTTGCGTCACATTTTCTGTTGAGTGTAAAATGCACTAAAGTAGGATAACCTGGCAGACACACAGGACACACAGACTGGACTGGACACAAACTTAATTAGATTCACAAACTAAACTAAACACACGTAACCCAGACTAGAAAGACAGAATTAGACGCAAAACTAAAATAGACAGACTTGACCAGACAAAAGGGCAATGTTAGACCCACTAACTAAACAACTCAGAGGCAGGAGTGTAATAATAAACATATGTATACTGAAGTTTGTCAGTATAGGCATTTCAGTTCAGTATGCATGTGTGCATAACTAATACAGCCATTCATAATAGCCCTTTATAAACTAACGCAAGCCACAGTTGTTCACAGTTTTAATGCGAACCTGAAAGCTGCTAATGTGAATAAGTACAGCACAGTTTAGGCACAGTTAACTTTGTAAATCCTGCACCTTAAAGGAAAATGATTTTTTATTCATTTTTAATTATTTGAAAGAAATATTTTTCCTTAGCTTTTGTAAATTTTACATTTTTTATTAGTAGTTTACAATCAGTTACAGCAGATTTTGGTAAATAAAGATGCAATGATAGTCTTTAAGTTTAATTTTTTATTTTTTTTTTAAATTAAAAAGCAGTTTAGTGTTTCGTATTTCTTGTTTTCCGTGACCTCAAAATTGAAGTATGTATTGAGCCCAAATTTTTGTGTACTGTTACACCTCTTTACAGAGTAGACAACAGATGAAACTGGACACAAAACACTAGTGAAGCAAGATTAGGCCCACAAGTTAAATTACATAGAGTAGACTAGACTACAGAGACTAGACTAGACAAACAAATACAGACTAACCTAGAAAGACAAAACACTAAACAAGTGCCACAAGACTAGACTTGACACGCAGACTACCCTGAACAAACACAGACTACATACATAGACTAAACACAGATTAGACAGACTTGATAAGATGAAGAAAGACAACACAGACATGGACAGATTAATAGGAACATTATCACCTGAGCAAACTTGATAAAATAAAGTTACCATTACACTCAAAAATTGCCATGCTGTCGTACAGAGTGGGTGGAATTTGCAGAAATCAAAAGCTTGTTTACATTTCAGTGAACAGCACCATTTCTAATTACACTCATGCCATGCAGAGGTCCTTTGTATTCGCTGTGCACTACCAAACTTCAGGGACCACGCTCAGATGTCGTCTTTACATTGGTGTTTCCATGCAAAACATTCCTCAGATCATGTGACCATTGCGAATACATGTCGAACCAAAGGTCTTCAAAAAAATTTTGACATCGCAAAGAAGGAAATGCGCGACTGTTCTTTCTAAATGGGCTACAGTCGTCCTACAGTTTCTACAGTACAGTCGGCTGAGTCACCATGCAACAGGCATGGCACAGTACAAACCTGGCACCGCTATAGGCTCCACTGGAGGCAGAGGTTGAGCTAGAACCAGAAGGAAATGTTAAGCAAACTGCCTATCGCTATTTTGGACCTTCATCTGATGCAAACATACAGCAAACTTTTGTGTCTCAGAGTCAGACGCTTCACGACTTCTTTGGGTCTTACCTTCTCCAAGTCGTCTGAACTGAAAGCCCTGGACCGATGTGACGTAGGAAGCGATGGCTCCCTCCTTCACCACGTTGTACAGTACGCTGCGGATCTGTTCGTCGTTGGTGTTGTAGTCAGAACCCACATCCAGTTCCACAAACACATCAACGCCATCCTCTCTGATCATCTTTCTGAAATGATCAAGAAAGGCTGGTGAGGTTAAAGAAAAGCACTTCAGAGGTAATGTTTCTCTTTGAATGCCCCTTAAAGAGGATGTAGTCATTCCTGAAATATTACTGACAACAGGCCTGCACTACTGGCCTTGTGGGATTTGGAAAAATCGGAAGAAATATCATCTGACCAGAGTAAGACACCCAAGCAGCAGCAGCTCATAGCTGCAAAGTATCTACTTTGGGTGCCATGAGGCATGATTTAAAGGATTTGTGCTCTTACTTAATGAGGACCACGCTGACCGTCTGGACACCTGGAATCCTGTTGTACTCTGACTCCAGCTGTGGAGGGAAAACTAGGCTCAGTTACATTGGGCCTTATTTTCAGACTTTAGAGTCACACGTTCTTAAATCAGCCAAGTCATAAATAAAAACATCTGAACCTTATAAGGTAGTATAGTCTTAGCATACTGTACATGTTCAGCGGAGTTAATGAGAAGAGGACATACCGTGTCAACCACTGCTTCAGAAATCTCATTAAAGGCGGGAGAGAAGATGTCCTCGAGTTCAGGGCCATACACCAGAGAGTCGGTGAAGTTGACGAGAGCTCTGTAATAAACTAGAAACACAGAGAGGGGAGGAGAATCTGTCAGCCAAACCACACAATAACAGACAACGACCACAGGCTCAGCATTAATGTCCAACTGTTGTATGGGGTTAGATTCTATAAGCCGAACTCAATCCGCTAAGTCTATTAAAGACAGTGTGATATGGTATACTGTTTGGGAATTGTTTCCCAGAGGGAAGCCTTTGGTTAAATGTTTCAGAAAGTAAAAACAAAAAGGCATATCTGAGGCTTAAATGAGAGCCACATACAAATTCTGGCATCTATTTCCATATCTCAATTGTGGTTGGGTTTGTGAAGCATTGCACCACACATAGGCTCTAACAAGAGACGCACGCTGTGACAGGCGCACTCAAATATAACCAATAAATTACAGTATCAAGGCATGTCTTCCTCTCCGTATGTGCCTTTCTGAGGGTCATGGCCATGGAGACAAATACACAGCGTACTCCAGTAGTGACAGAAAGGTGCTGATAAAGCAACTTATTTGCAACGACAAAACTGAGTTCATCATCTGAAACATTTAAAGACATTAAATATCACCACAGCATGGCCACGAGTTTGAACAAGATCTCCTGACTGAAGGCTGATGATATCACTGAGCTGGAAGGTGAGTAAGACTTGAGCCAACATCATGACTGCAGAGGAAGAAGAAAATCCTCTGTGAGTGACTCTGGAAGGGGGCCTCAACATTCCCTCAACATGTACCAAGCGTAACACACGCGAGGCCGAATGGCTGGAGAGCAGTGGAAGGGGATTATATCAATGGCCTATAGAGACTGTATGTTATTTGGTCTGACTGGTCATTAAACAAATAGGTCAGCTGCTTGAACATAAGGCACTCCATAGTCAGAGCTGAGGTGCAGTGGGTTGCCTTAGTCTTAACCTGCTTAGAGTGGCAGGTGAAGACAGGTTTTGGCATGAATACAATTCAGATTAGCTCTGTTAAACTGTTCTCAATGCACTTTCAAAACAAGCAGCTGATTGGTTCTACATCTGCAGTATCCATTGTCTCTGCAAAAGTGTCCTTGAGTGAAGCACTGAAACCAGAACATTGCTACAATGTGGTTGACCCTGCCCTCTCATCACTCTGAAAAAATGCAGTAAAACAAGATAAAGTTGAATTTCTTTTCACACAGTGACAAGGGAATTCTCGTTTCTTCTCCACTAGCATTCACATTGCCCTACTTATGAAAACTCCACCCATTGGCTACACAAGTAGCTTACACCAGTCCATAAACCAAGTTTTTTTTTTGTATGCAGTGCGTCATGATGTCATGCTGATTTACAGTCACAAAACTGTGCTTTGTATAATGACACCATTCAGAATAAATGAGTGAAGAGTTCACCAAAAAATGGTGCTGTTGTATTTTGCACACGTCTTCTTACATATCAGTGCCATCTTCAATTCCACACCTTCTAAGTCTGGCATTTTAAAGGATCAGCTATTTCCAAAGTTGTTTTGCCTTTTAAGCATTCAGATTTTTACATCACAGTCTTCTAAAGAAATACGCAGAAAAAAAGGAAAGATTCCTTCAATTAATCACTCTTTCTAATCCTGCCTTCATAAATCATTTTGATGGTCTATATGTGTAACCCATTATAAGCAAAAATGGCAGCTGTATTATTATAATTCCAATGTCACAGGCAAGGGCCGTGAAACTGAAAATAACCCAGGCCCACAGGGTGCCCCGTTCTCACACTCCTGCCAACACTTTGTTAGGACGGGCCTGCCAGCCTCTGATTTCAGACTGGCAGTGTGGGTTTAGGGAGGAAGTCAATATTTGTTCTGTTTCTTGCAGTGAGATGCTACTTGCCATGCCAAAGGCAAAGAGTCATGTTCTAAGTAGGCATCTGCTGAGCCTCGAGCTACAAACATACATGCCCAAATATGTGCAAAACAATAAATCTCTACACGCACACAAACACAAATGAATGAACACAAGCACACACACACACACGTACGCTGTGCAAAATATATCCAAACACTTGTACACAGTATATTATTTTCCCTCCCCTTTTCCCGCTCTTTAGATAATTATAAAGTTCTATACATGTGGACACTGACAGCAGACATTTTTCAAGCTTACCAGTAGCTACTTAATTAAAAGTTGCAGATTTTGTGTCTCACACTGAGGCTGTGTGGTCACTGTGTTAAAGAGCTATCCTCTCTTAATGCTACAAAGTCCCATTTTCTTTGCACACAGCACTGGCACTTCAAGACGTTCCTGCTGAGGAAAAGCCTCATTTATGACAAAGTAAACTCAGCATTGCCTATGAAAACACACAGTGAAGTGAACATGTAACAGCAGAACTGCAGCCTTTAGCACAGCCTGGCATGGTGCCTGAGTGCTTGCTCTGCAGGCTGTTACTGTAAGTTTTGCAGGAATAATTGTTAGGCCTGAATGCAGTCTCAGAAGACAGGCAACATCAAAGTTACTCATCAAAGCGCCTCATTTGACCCGAATATAATCTAATCACTTGAGTGGGTACTTGCCGCCAGGTCAACAGCGGCTTGTAGCCCCAACTCTCTCTGAGCTCGCCGCTTTGGACCAGAGAGTGGGATTGCCACTGCCTGGGATCCTTTGAATTGGAGCACCGGGTTGTGCCCTGCTGCTAACGAGCAGCTCTTTTACACGAGGACCCATTCTCCTGTGTACCACTAGCTGTTTCTAGTTGGGGGAAATCCCCTCGTCAAGCCCCGTCACCATCAAAGGTGATCATACTGAGTGCAGACATGACGAGTGGGATGATAAAAAAAAAAGAAGAAGTCTGGAAAAATAGCATTCCACACTCTTAATTCACAAACTTATTTAGCTATTAAAGCTGTTCAGTAGAACTGTGGCAGCTTTGTGCAATGGGCCCCCTCTGAACACATAGAGGCCTATGCAGAAGACAAAGACTTGATTGAGCAGTGAGCCCAGTCTGGCCTTTAAAGCCCAGCCACATTGGGCTTGACCTTCAACCCCCAAGGCAGCGCCCACGGCATCGGCCCAGCACCAGTTGAGCCATTTAGAGAGGGAGTGAGGAAGAGCCAGAATCTATAAGAACAAGGCCCAAACCACATTGCACCAATGACTCCATCAAAAATCTCTAACAACGCATGTTTTTCCCCTTCCATGGGCTTCCCCTCTTTCTCTCACTCATCCCCATCTCTTCTTTCATCTTCCTCTCTCGGTCAGCATAATAATATTCATTTGCCAGCTGCCACTTTCTCAGCTTAACTCATGTAGACAGGACCCCTGCCACTTAACCCTTTTGTTGGTGTTAAGCCAAAAAACTCTGTCTCCAAGTCCACTCATTGCCCTCTGGGGAACTCTTGGGAATGAATTCTGTCTCCACTATTAAGCTCAAACAATTGTGCTCTCCCGCGGCTTGCAATGTAAGCATCAAAACCACCATTGTGTATAATAAAGCATATACAGATACATATTTTTGCAGTGATTCTTTGTAAAACTTTTTGCCCCTGTTGCATTTTTTTCTACTTTGGACTAACCTTTCACTGCAATATTAAGACCTGTACCTCTGTGAGAAAAAAAGCACAGCCATGGCTAAATGTAAAAAAGAAACTCAAAATGTCAGCTGTGCAGTTTAACATTGCTAGAATGTTATAAATCATAAAAAAGAAAAGACAAATTTGAATTTCTTTGATTATTTAGTTTACAAAAGCAGAATAAATCTGGAATCAACATATACAACATCTTTCCAAGGTGTTGAAAAAATAGTATCTCTACATTCTGTGGATATTTTACTACTTAACACTCTAAATTTGGCAAAAAAAAGTGATTTTTTAAACAAGATAAATTGCCTTTTTAAACCCACCGGTGGGTTTTGAGGTTTAGAGGGTTAAGTGTGGATCAGATTTTTGCAAAGGTCACAGCAATGCTTTGCAGGGATGTTTTTAGCTCAGAATGGAAGTGTTGTCACTCGAGCATAATGAACTCTATTACTCGATGGAACAACCCCATCATTTTCCACTGGCATCAGAAATTACTGGGAGACGCCTGCAAGACACTTGGAAAAACAGACCAGCTGGACTCAAACGCTACATGCCCGAGCTCAGTCTTCCTTGGAATGTTATCTGAGAGTGTGTTTGGAAATGAGTGTGCATAACTGAGCGGAGCAGGTGACATGATAGTGTGCCAAACACAAGAGAGGAAAGAAACCGCAGTATTAAAAGGAAAGAAGTGCTTGTGGACTTACTGTACTCTGGCTCGACTGGGCTCTGTATGTTCCCCAGATATGAAGAGTCCAACCAATGTTCTAAGGCAAGCAATGAGGGGCAAAGAGCAAAGAGCAAGCAACAGGGGGAAGAGACGTGATGTAGAGGTCGACAGGGCACAAACAGGATCCAGAGGTCAAAGGATCAAACGAGAAAAGCGACACAAGGACCAACGAGGAGGATCAAGTTAGCCAGGCAGGTGCAGAGAGGTTAAAGTTTCAGGAAAGTTAGAAAGGAAATGATTAAATGCAAGGAGAGAAAATAGAAAGTGACAATCAGAAAGAGAACTGCCAAAAGAGTTTTATTGAAAGAAACAGGAAATCAGGAAGTCATTGAAAATTGTATGAAATATAACACAACAAAACAGCCGAGCTAACAGCAAGAAATGAAAATGAAATTGTCATCACAATTTTACAAGAAGCTAGAAATGTCAGCATCAATTTGCCGTCGTCAACAGTCCTACTAATCATTACCATTCATATGTTGCGGATGCTTAACGGGACAATGGATGCTGCGAGCCTGTGGTTTCTGTTGACTAATGAGTTGAACCAGTGTCTGTCAGGAAACACACGAGGAAGTCTGCTTGCATGACAGCATCGAGGAGAAAGGGTCAGAGGGCATTGCATTAGGAATGCCCCTTCTTTAGTCCAACAGTACAAAGAGGATTCTTCACAAACAAAGCCCACATTTGCACGTACTGCTCTTCACATCCCTGCTGTCCGACACTTACGTCCACCCTGGGACTGTGCAGCGATGCAGGGAGGAGCTGCGTCCTGTTTTCCCTTTTAAATGGAAGAAGTGAGCACCATTAAAACTGTCATAACTGTTTTTACAAAAAGTTAAGCCCTCTGCACTGGCACTGTGGTGACTCATTGGTTCTTCCACTGCTTTGGATGCACTTACACCGTGGGGCATGCTATGAACTGCCAACTGAGGAGGCCTCTTGGTTGTTCTGAATCACTGACGGATTGAAGAGAGGGACTGCTGCACAAAGGCTGAGTTTACAACACATTTACAGGCTTTCTGAACATCTATTCACCGTTTTCAATGAAAAATGAGCTGGCCTGTCTTGTAAACACATGCAACTTTAACAGTTATTAAAATGCTGTACACCCGCACTGCACTGACAAGGTAGATATTTATGCTCCAGTTCACTCTGTATGAGTCCACTCCATAAACTTCAACAGACAGCAGTAAACAACAGCTCCTTTATAATCAAGTGAGTCCTCTGGATCCAGCTGTTTTGCAGATGCACATACAAAAAACACATGGCTTCTGCTGTACTATACTGTCGTGTCTTTTAGAAGATAGCACATTTAGCAAAAGCTGATAGGAAGACTTGCCTTAACTGCAGTGTAACAGTCAAGTGAAAAGCAGGTAGATGAAGACACAAAACTATATGCGGCAGTCCAGCCAGGAAACAGTTGAGAAAAAACATGCCCTACCCAAATGATCAGAGGTCTCCCTCAAGAATAGTGACCCAAACTAATTAAAGCTAATGAAGCATCCGCTGCTTTAAAGTCTGTTTGATATGTTGTGATTCTTGTGAGAAGCAGAATGTGAGCAGAAGGGGCCAACAGTTTTGTTACTACTCGCCATGCTTTTATGTGTTGATCAGGCCGTGATTACTGACTGAAACAAAGCAGTCGCTGTGTAGGAACATGGACAGACAGGAAGTTTGCTAAAATACCCCTCTTACTTATCAGCAGAGACACAATCATTATTAAGTAGTAAAGGTTGTACTGACTATTATCCAACAAAAGAGTTAGGAGCTTAACAAATCCCACAGGGGGTATTGTTTGATATGGATACTCTCTAGTGTACAGACAGGAAGCTGCTGATCAACTGTGGAGCTTTATCCAAATAAACTCTCAGATCTAGGAAAGCCACAGGACAATTGAATAACCAGCCAATAGCCACAACTTCTAAATCTGTTTGTTTTGTAACACAACAAACCACTTTCGTAACCATAATTTAAAGTATCCTCTTGTGCTGCAGCACAGATTATTGTGGAAGTCATCAAAATACGCAGACATATAAGTTACAAGTCCCTCCTCAACACTGCAGAGAGGAAAGTGGGATCATTCCAACAGCCGCACATGCTCTGTTTGAATGAAACCCTAAACATGTCTCTCATAAAGAGGAGTGGCACAAGCCAGCTCTCCAAGGCAACTCATTTGTTGTTCGTACAACAGAGTGCAGAATCATGGGACTAGGTGCAGTAATAAGGCTCGACTCAGTGACTAAGACCATTCAGCAGGAGTCTTTCAGGACACTGAACACTCTGAATGCGTGTACACAGTCACACTGATAACCAGCTGTTTGACAAAGGCTAAACCAAACGTATCTTTCAGCATTGCGGCACCCATGTTTTGTCTGCACCGTTACAACTGTCTTGTCCACAAATGGAACAGGGCCATGTGATCATCATGTCAGGCAAGTTTCTCCTACTAGTGGGTGACCACCTTGAGGGCCCCCAGCAGTGCAACAACAACAAAGACCTCACCAAAATAACTGCAGCTGCCAGCACTTATCCCTCGCTGTAACAACTCGTGAGGCTCCACGTATGTGACACACTGAGACACAAACACACATGAACGCAGTGCCACTGAGACGCGCATATCACCAACTGCCCATGAACACAGCAGCAAAAACTGAGTGGGTGGCCCGGCCGTAGTCTGCCCACTGCCCAGGCCGAACTGACAACACAGGCTGCATTACGCTGATGTATTGTCCACTTATGCTGCAACATCTGTTCTCTTCTAGAGATAACGGAAGATTCCAAACCAGCACTGTGTTTTTTCAACAAGCGTCCTCGAACGATTGATGCGATTAGAAGTAAAACCAGCTGAGGCTACACAGGATGGCAGTAACCTGTCTGTGAGTCCGCCTCCGCTGGAGTCAGCGTGGATCACTGACCCTCAACCTCCCTAAAGACTAAACATGGAGCACATCGCTCTGCTTATCCAAAGCTGCGTGTTTAGTCTGAAATCAACATTTCACACAGCACTGAGTAAATCAGTGTTTATGGCACTGCATAGATGCCTAAATATACTTTATCTGAATTGTAAACTGTTAATAATCTCTTCTCGATAACATGTAGTTCTATTTTAAACACCAGCAAAGTGCACTTTAGGTCATGACTGATTATTTATTGCTTAATGGATTTCTGCCAAATGAGAAGGAAAAAACAAGCTAGAGCAGTTAAGAGCAGTGGTTTACAAAGTTTTCTGCCTACTTTACACCAGAGATAGTCTCACTTCACCATTCTATTCTGCAGTGCAGAATGGTCTAACTGCACCTCATTTTCATTCAATACACTGATTTCAAACATACTGTGTTTGATATGTGTTTCTTATCTCTTCTGTTTATTTATGTGGTGTTATTTTAGCACAGTAGAAAATTAAAAGCAGACAGGTATTGCCACTCATCAAGGCAGGCCACTTTGGGAACCACTTAAAGTTGAGGTCAACCATGTGGACTTTTCAGGGTCTATCAAGATTATTGGCAAACAAGGAGGTCGATAACAGATATCTGGAACTGACATACATTTGCAGTTCTCTTGAAAATCTTATTCCTTCTCAAAACTTCACAAAAAATGCCTTTGTTTATTCACGTTATACACAATTTTGTTGTTTGTTTGTCAACATTGACCCTTTAGTGCCAATAGGCTGCTACTAGTGACGTGTAATCGGTCAGATAGTGATGTAGGTGAGTGAGTGATGACAGAGGCAACAGTTAATCAATTTTTTCCAACTATTAAATTAATCATCCTCTTATTTGACAATCAATTCATCAGTTGGAGCAAATAGATTTTTAAAAATGACTACAGCTTCTTAAGTGTGAATAATTTTGAGTTTCTTTCCTCCTCTATGACAGCAAACTGATTATCTCTGGGTTGTGGACGAAACAAGACATTTGCGGACGTCATCTTGATCTTTGGGAAACACCAGTTGACAAGTCTCCCAATTTTGGAGCAGTTGAAGCAAACAACTGCTCAATTATTTGAGAAAATAATCAACAGATTAATTGACAATAAAAAATAATGGTTAGTTGCAGCCCTAATAGACAATAATCCCATTAACAGACATATATATTAATTTTATTGGGTACCAGGCAAATAAAAATCTAATAAATGCTGATTATCTGATCAAGTAATCGCCCAGGCCATTAACTGTTAGACCCCTTATATAACGTATTTTTTTAATAACTGCAATGAGAAAAGTACTTGACTGGAAATTTTACAGTAGCACAGTAAATAAACATATCTTTGGAAATACTGTACTTAAATTTCTTGTTATTTATTAGCTTTAACATTAACATGAGTAATCACTTTTGACCAGGTGCAATGATTACATACTGAGTTCCAGTTAAAACAAATTCTGAATTCGGGATCTGACTGAAGAGTGGGTGAGTGAATTGACCAAGGTGGGAAAATTGAAACAAACCCTTAATCCTATTGTTAAATACCACAATTTTGTTTAAGCCTGAGTACTCAGTTTACACAAGTTAATTGTGGTTTAATTTTTACTGCGATATGTATTGTATGCATATTGTGATATCAATAAAGTTTTGACAAGATATACACTTTATTTATCAAGAGTAAATCGCATTGTCACAATCATTTCATTAGAAGAGGTAACAAATATATATATTTTATTTCAACTTTATGGGCAACAGTGAGTATAGATATATTGGCCTGACCGATTTTCCAGCCTAGCTTAAGTGAAGAAAAAGGAATTCTCAAGCTTTTCATCCAAAATTAGCACTGGGAAGACCCTAACCCCAACAGCCCCTCACCAGTCACCATCGCTATTACTAGTAATGGACATGGGAACCTTAGTGTCTTCAGTGTCTAAACAAAGTGGCCAATATCCTGGGTGCACTGGGAACATTTGTAACAGAGCCTGTGGAACAACGAAAGGCTCTCACAGACGAGATAAGTTGGACTAGTCTCCCAGAAATCTCTTTGGGGCTCTAAGTGTGGAGGTCAAGAGGAAAGGTTAGGAGGACATGGGACACAGCCCTCATATCTCTGGAGAAGATTGCAGAGTATGATTACGTTGAGACAAAGAACAACAATGGACAAAAGCAGATTCAAAATAGCCTCATCTTTACATCAGTCTAAATTCCAGATGCTTTGCTTTGATTCAATGTCTCAGACAAAGGGAAATGGGAATTCCTCCACCATCAGCTAACAGTCACACAACAGGATGCAGAGCATAATGGGGGCAACTGTGGCACCTACGTCTCCTAGTCTGCAGTGCTGGAGAAGGAAGGAAGGCAGAGGCTTGCGAGAATTGTCTGCACAGCCAACAGGACAGAGACACTCATCAAGGTACTCAGCATTGAGCACAGGAAACTGAATTTCCTTCCCAGTGCTTTTTTGCTCAGGTCTATATATGGGATTAGTCAGCTTCCTGCAGCTACAGTATCACAATCACACTGAGCAGAATGCAAATGTCTAGTCACCTTAGTGATAAGACAATATATTAAAGAAAGTTCTGCATAATCTCTACCTCCTTTTTAATTGCCAATGCCACATTAAAGCAAAGTTGACCTTTATGTTGATACAAAAGCCAGAAAGTTTATGGAGACTGAGGCAATAAACCAAAGTAATAGAGAAGGTTTGTAAGACTTATATCACACCAAAAAATTGCAAGCACATTAACTGGTGATATCTTCCCACCCTGTGCTGTCAACACAACAAAAACCGGCTTTGTATTTTATGACTTTTGGATTATTTTTGCACATTTGTATCTGCCGACCTGACTTGAGGGTTACAGCACCAATGTTCTCGCCAGGATTTGCCTGAGAAACACTTCAAAACAACCTCAACTTGCTGCAGGAGTTTGAAATGCAGCTACCAAAATGATCTGCAAAGCTGTGTTTAGAACAAAACACTATTTCTTTCATCTATGTCTTCATCAATCAGTCTGCTGATAATAGCTAAATATTTTCTCCATTGGTCAGCAGCTAAAAACTGACTCAACCTTCAGTCGAACCTCGCTTGTCTAATCCGGCACAATTGCGTGCTGTCAGCAGCGTACACGTTAATGTCAGCCATGTCAGTCCTTTAACTTCCCAAATCAGCGAGGCCTCACGGCAGTGCTATTTCTGTGAGTGGAGCACATGATGCTATATGCCTCAGCTCTGATGTCAGCTTAAAATGCTGCTACCAAAACAATCACTGTGGTATGATGTAATCAGCTCCACTGACTTGTCAAGTGACAGCGTTGGGCATCAACATTGGCAAACTAAGAAGCAGCAACTATGATGACGTCTTTATAATTTGCCACCGTTTGCAAATCATCAAACATGGGGGGACATAACTGCTTTGGTAACTGCATTTTCTGCAGGTTAGAGTATTCACTTACATGAAGAAAATTACCACTTTGAAAACACACTGTCGACATGCACCAAAAATAAACAGGACAAACATGTTGCCAAGTAATACGCTGGATTTATAGCTCTATGTTCTAATTCACCTATGGAGAGAGAAAATGGTTCGACAGTAGTCCACTGGGCAACTGGTTGGTTCATTTGTTGATATGTTCTCATCCAGCCATGTTCTCATTGGTTGAACAATCAGCAGTGTTACTTTCAGAGGGAGAACAGACCATCCATGAACACCCGCATATTTACAACTTTGAAATAGCCTTTTGTTCATACTTATTGCCAGAATGTGACTTTACACTTGACACTCCCCTGCGACAAATCATTTGGTTGAAGATTGAGGACAATTTCCGTTGAGCAAGATTTTCTTTGGTTGACTACAGCGCTCCAAAGTCGGGACCACCAGGAGTGTGACTGGTCAGCTTGTGTCTTTAGGTATCAGTGAGTGACTGTTGATACCATTGATGACTTCAGCAGCCGTCTTCTTTTCAGTGGCATGCGTCTAACAGAGACATCTCCATCAAAGTGACCCACCAAATGTAAACATGGCTCCTGTCTCAAAGTAAATGAACAAAGCCACTGTGAAGAGTATAATTAAAGATCAATGGCAGCATCTATGGTGTGCCATCAGTGGGTGAAACCCGATGATGAACCTATATTAAAACCTGTGCTGTCGGTGTCTAAGGTGGGACTCAAATAAACCTCTCATGCCATACATCTATAGTTGAGCATCAGTATTTATCCATTTAAACGTGTTTAAAGTGTTACCACTTGTTACTCTTAAAGCCTTTGTGGCCAAGTCCAAGTAGCATGCAGACATGTTAGGTGAAAAGGTCGGTTGGCCGTAACTCTTAGTTGTTTGGCTGTCGGCAATGAAAGGAAATCTATAGACGGCAAAAACAATAAAGAATGTACCAAGACAAGAATTAGCGGCAAACCACAGGCATGATTAAAGAGTTAGACCATCATGCAAAGTTTAATATGCTATTTAAATTATTAAATAGTTTTTATCCTGCCACTGTGCACTGTGATATAGTGGGTTCCCCGCATATAAATACTTTCCAAGTCTACATAAAAATCATGGGACTTGGGTGCCTTGCTGCAGGTTTTATTGTTCATTGTGCTTTTATGTTATTGTGCTGTCACCTCTGCCACCGGTTAAAAGGATGGAGGCAGACAGGAGATGTTTATGTATCAGAGACAAAGCCGAAGCCCTGTGTTATGACCAGACTGTGGCAAGTTGCCGAGGAGGGAGGAGACGGTGTAGCAGGATGTGAAGGTATCATCGCTCCGGCGCAGACAGACATTATGCACAAATGTGCACACCCACTGCATATAGGCACTTCAGTCAGAGTCACAGATGGGGGAGCTTTAGAGAGTTGAGTGATCTACCACACATAAACAAAATCTGTCACAAGGAATTGTTAGATTCACGAGATTTTCTGGTCCCTTACTTGTGCTCTCAGACGGAGGCCACGGTGTGCTTCCATCATCCTCTCCACTGGGCAGATCTTTGGAGAGAGAAACAGAAATACAAAGATGTGTCAATGTGCAGATTTCGCAGACCAGGAAAGCATGTTTTGTTCACTTACACAGTGTCTGTAAAAAGAATTCATTCCCTGGAAGTTTTCCTTTTTTTTATTGCCTTTCAGCATTGAATGTTGGTCAATACAACTGGGCTTTTTTGACAAGAATTTACAAAAAGACTTTTTCCTGTCAAAGTGAAAACTGATTTTTACTACATATTGCCAATTAATTAAAAATATAAACAGTAAAATTAACAACTGCATAAATATTTAGCCTCTTCAAGTTAGTATTTAGTAGATGCACTTTTGTGTATAATTATAGCACATGGATAAGTTTCAATCAGCTTAGCACTTGCAATTGATTCTTGAACCTTCTTTTTCAGGTGTCTTTATACTACAATCACTTGCGACACATTCACTGCACTCGGATGATCTTCATTTCTCTAATTATGTGATTTCGAGCACATCTGTGTTGGATTATGAGTCACAAAGGGGGACCACTTAAGTAATCAAAAAAAAGACATGTTCTATTTTTTTTTTTAATTAACTGACATTATGTTTTAGAAATCTGTTTTTAACTTTGACATGACAGAATCTGTTTTTGTAAATTATTGTCCAAAAAAAAATTCATTGATCATGGGTAACTGTTAAGAAGCAATAACAGGAGAAAACACCGAAGGGATGTGAATACTTTTCTAAGTAAACATCAAAGCTACAGGAAACTAAATTCCCAATGAAAAGTCTGCATCTAGTGAGCTGAAGCAATTTCTTATGTGTCTGTGGGCAATATTCTTACTTTCTCTGTTTTGGGATGGGTTAAAAATCTAAGGAATGCATAATGAAAAACTGTCATGAATTAAGGGCAGCTGTCGCTGTGGTTTGTGGTTACCCAGCCCACCTCCTGAAGCTTCATCAGCAGCAAAGTCCTCGTCATCATCCAGTAAACTCTGAGACGCCTGGACATCTTTTTCTGCCTCCAAATCTTCAGGCAGAGGGACCTCTCCCCACACCTTGGAGGCCTGTGTCACCTGCAACAAACACAGAGAGATTTATAGGGGTTGAAGTCTCCACGGAGAGAAAGGTTACACCCAGTGCTATACATGGACCATGGAAGGGTGGAGGGAAAACAAAAGCTGAGACGGGAAACGGGGCATTGTTATGTGTTTACTTTTACCATTTATTATCTCTTGGAGGCCTCCTCAAGTGTTCGCATGCACATAAAGTTCATGACACCAGTATGAGTAAAGTTTTTTTCACAAGAAATTGTACAATTCGCTGTTGTGTGTTTTTGTCACCTTAACGTGGAAGCGGGCTACAGATAATCACAGTTGACTGTAATGACCCACATATGAACACACACAAACAGGGACAAATAAAAAATCTCAACAACAAAAAAAAAAGCCAGTAAAAGCAGCTGAGGTTCAGATCAGAATGACACTAAGCTCTTTAAATATGCTTTCAACTCTGTCCCCCCCGGGTAAAGTAAAATATCCAGCATACCATGACAAGTCCTTTACAACTGGCTCCTCACTCTGGAACCAGGAAGGAGTCTTTCACTGAAACATTATGTCACTCAGAATGGAACAATAGCAGGGGTGTAACTGAAGGATGGGGATGAAACTGAAAATGCAGTGCCTGGCCTGACGCCACAGTCACATATAATTTCATTAAACTTAAAGCTCTGAGCATACACAGCGCGATGGCTAGAAATCAAACTTCAATACACAACAAACTGAGCAACTGAAACTTTCAGCTAGTGTACGCTGGCAGCGGATTCTATTTGTTCTTTGATGAGACACTTTATCATGTTCACAATCTCAGCCTGGAATGCGAACATTTAAAAAGTCACACCGAACATAAAGTATAGCTAAGGCCGTCATAAATTTGCATATACTTGGTCATAAACCAAGGCATTAGATTATTAAAATGTGACACTTGATGGCACTCGATGAAAAGTTACCGCAATACATCCTGATCGGGACGAGCATACCTGCACCAAATTTCACAGTAATCCCAGAAATGCCAAGACATTTCACTGAAAATCAAGAAATGTTGCTACATTTCTTTTGAATACTTCAGCTCTTTGTCTGCATATTGAAATTTCCACTTGTAAAAAATTCAGTCAGTGACATCTCTGCAACTGTAAGACGAAAATGAACAACCTGGGGCTCTGTGAACCAGACATACTTGTCAGAATTTTGAAATGTAAAAAGTTTTGCAGTCCTCATCACCAGGTAAGTGTGAGACTGGAAAAATTCTGTTAAGAAATGACATTTTAACTTCTGCTTAATCAGAACTGTCAATTAGGGAGTAAACAGCAACTA